AATGGGGTTGGAAAGTAAATTCGTCCAAGAACACTTGACTGGACATGATTGTGGAGGCTTCCATGCCCAACCTGCATCTTTGTGGTAGAGCCTGGTGCCCAGAGGACAGGTGAACACAGAGGGCCAGAGGCAGAGTGGGGCTTTCTTGCCTGCCTAGCTTCTCCATTGCAGGGCCAGCCCAGTGCCTGGCCACAGACTGTCATGCCCATGTATTTAGGCAGGGGCTCCGGTCAGTGCCTTGTCCTGCCCTTGTGTAGAGATGATGGTGTGGCCTGAGCTATTTCTAGGGTTGGCACATACAGTCAAGATTGCTGGTCTCAAGGCAGAGGGGTGGATGAAGTCAATCCTTGACCTCTGCCCTCACCCTACTCTGTTGCCCTCAGAATACCTTCTAGTCTCTCCTCACCTTCCTAGCACCACCCTAACTCCCTCCAACAACAACAACAAGCTGTATGGTTTCACAAGGATGTTATCCTGACACACTAATTCACACTAGAGTGGTAGTGATGTTCTCAGCTACTCTTCCGAATAATGACTTGGCCTTTAAGGAGGAGGAGATAGTGCTTGCTGTAAAGGTAACAGCATTCAAGGTTGCAGGGGCAAGACTTCAGCCACGAGTCACCTGTGTGGGAAGGGGGGATTTGCTTTGATATCTCCTTGTTCTGCTGCCTGTGTGGACACAACGCAAAACCACACTCATTCCTGGAAGCCAGATGCCACTTCTGACCATCAGGAGGCATCTTCGGGGATAGACTTGCTGCATGGGCAGCAGCTATGGTGCCAGGGACAGGCAGGGTTGTTGGGGATGGGGAAGGGGAGAGAGCCAGGCTTGCTGCTGGGTCTGAGACAAAAAGTTTTCCTGAAAAGTTGTTGCCTTGAGCAGTGTCCTGCAGCCTGGGCCCCAAAAGTTCATGGGAAACTACTTCTCTGGCTGTCTCGAATTTGGGTTCTTCGTTTGGTGTGTCAGATGCCCTGAGAGTGTGAATGCAGCTCTGGCAAGCTTAAGGTACCCAGGCCCTTCTGACCTCTATCCTACTTGCCTCGACTGTCTTCACTTGGTCTCTCCTCTGAGACTCGCACCCAGCCCTCTCCTTTCCTAGATCAATGAGAGGGGTCATCCTACCATGCCCCTTGGTTGGTCCTCAAAGCAGGGTGGGCTGGTAGTGCTGAGTCAGTGTCCGAGACTCAGCTGTGAAGCTCAGCAGCCTGCTGCTGCCAGTGTGGCTTCAGCACAGCCAAGGGACCCGGTGGATAGCGTGAGCCAGGAGTGAGCAGGAGAGCTGTGCCCTGGCCAAGCTCCGGCCAGCTCACAGTGCCCCCAGGAGTAGGGCTGCTGCTGTCTTTAACTGTGCCATGGCCCACTCCTGGCTGAGTCCTCCCCTGGGCTTGATTATTTGCTCTTTGTTTCCATTTGGAGTCCCTGTCCCTACCTGCTCTTGCTCTGTGTGTCTTATTTATCCTTCTGATCTCTTTCATTTGGAATTCTTTGATATCACTGACACTACCACCAACCTGATCTAGCGCTCATCTATTCTTTGCGGTGTTGTTGTTGTTCTTTTGTGTGGTTGAGTGACTGGGTAGTAGCTGTCCTTCCTAGGAGAAAATAAAAGCATCCAGTCACTTCTGTCATCTGTCCTGTTTAGTGTGCATCTGGCATTTGATGGCACCTGGGAGCCATTGGGTTACAGGGAAATAACACAATGATTCCTGTGGCTTAAGCTGCTTCCAGCCACAGGAGCTGGCCACTGTGTCTCTTGTAAGACAAGCTGGTCGCAATTGGCAGCCTCCCATTATTTAGCACAAAAGACTGGAAGAGCAAGACAGGATTGTGAAAAGGCAAACTCCCAGGCCCTGTGCCTTTCCTCAAGTCATCTTGCAGCCGAATCCCCCTCTAGGGCAGATCCGGGAAAGCAATGGCAGCTGTGCGTCTCATCTTAAGAAATATCAGGGCTTGTATCCTTGCAGCATGAGTTTCCCTCTAGAGAAGTGATGGGAGCCAGGAGGAGGGGACCTGGTCTTTGCCTCCTCACCTGCCTGTTCCCCATCATGTCTGGTCCTGGTCTTTCAGTACTACCTCCTCTGTTGGGCAGCACATCCCCGCACCATCCAGTTCTACCTCTACACCAGTGCTCAACTGCAAATGGTGCCTCCACTTTGCTCCTTGCTGTTCAGCCCTTCTACTGGAAGGCCATGGCACTCCAGCCTCTGGCTGTCCCAGTGATGTGTGCTGGCTTCCGGTGCATCCTTCCTGGCCAAGAGCCTCCTTGTCCAGCCGTACAAAGCTTAACAGCTGAAAATGTATTTGACTTCGGCTGCCTTTCCCTGTAGCTCCCCCATATCATCAGGGGGATGCCATATCATCATTCAGTGGATGCCAACTGCATGAACAAATTCAGTGAATTGTCCCAATAGCTTGAAATGCTCAAAACCTGCCAACACTTTAGGACACACAGGCGGGTTTCATCTGAAATTCCCAGTTTTATCTGAAAGAAGCAATCACTCAAAATGTTACTTGGTGCTACTGAGAGGAGAAAGAGAACATAAAACACAGCTAGAATGTTCCCATGAGGCAAGGGACTCTGTTGCCCCTTGTTACAGCATGGGTCTCCTCATCTAGGAGAGACCTCCAGGATCTGTGGCATACCTACACTGGGCCGCCCATTCTGAATCCTGATCCCAGTGTAGAACCATTGCCAGGGAGCCTCTTGAGGCCCTGTGCTGGGCCTTCCGAGAGAGCTGCCCAGGACATACACACACACACACACCTCCCTGGCTGCCTGCTTATCCTGGGGCATGACAGTTGCTCTCCCGGGAAGCTCACTGCCCACAGCCCACCACCCAGCTGAGGTTCTTTGCTTTCCTTCTGCAATGCCTGAACACCCTGGGTTTCCTGCAGGGTGAGGACTGTGCCTTGGGATACTCCCTGTTGTCCCCACCCTCCCAGGAAGTGCTCTCTGCTTTGAGGATGAATGGTAATTTGTCTGTGAGACCCTGGATCTTGTGAATATGGCTCCCAGCCAGTGGCGAGTGCTGCCTAAGCAGCATGGCCTAAGGCTCAAGGGAAAGTGTCTGGGGTCTCAGCATTCTCCCCCAAGGGAGGTTCCCCGTGGAAGGGGTCCATGCACAGACAGGGAAAGCTGGGGAGTCCTGCTCTTTCCTCCCCACTGCCCTCGTGGTCCTCCCAACCTCTGGTCTCCTCTTTGAGGAGCTGCTGTTAGGATTATTAAATAAATCCATATGGGTGGAGTGATGAAATACAGACTGAAAACAGAATCTTGAAATCAAATGAAATATGGTTTAAATAGATGCGATCTGAAATGGGGGGGGGTCATACAATATTTAAAAGCAGTAAGAAAAAAAGAAAGATGGGTTAAGGAGAAATTATTAAGAAAAGTCTCAAGTGAAGCACACTGCAGATATTAGATGAGAGCTGAGTGCGCCAAATGATTGTCTGAATTTTCCCCAGTGTGTCCAATTTAGGTTGGCACTGGCCCCTAATGACCCTAGGATTCTTAAAAATCGGGGTGAATTTAAAGGATAGGCCAATAGCCCAACCTGCTGGGACTGTGCCTGACACCCTGGCATGATATGTAGTACCCAGAACCTGTTCCCTGAAGCTTGGGTTGCATACAGCCGCTTTACCCATTGACTCCCCAGGGACAGGAGGGTATCAGGCCTGGCCTTCAGGGGTGACTCACAGCTGTGGGAGAGGGTTTCAGAGTTCTGACAAGAAATTTGCTGTGTGTATGTGTGTCTACGTGGGTCCGTGTCTGTGTTCAGTCTAGCCACTAGCCAGGTCCGTGTGCCCTCGCCCCCACTGCGCCCTCCAGGCTCAGAGCCTGTGCAGCTGCTAGTCACTCCTCAAACATCACAAACAGTGGTCTGTGTCTGACAAAAGGGGTGTCCCTTTCCTTCTCTCCCCTCGCCCTACCCTGGAGAACCCACTATTCACAAATCAGGACCCCAGACCATGTCGGGAAGGAAACAAATAGCAACAACAACAATAAAAAAGGAAGTTGAGAAATCTGTGGTCAGAGAAGCATTGTAAGGCTGCAAGCACATGTCTGCTTGTACACTTTTCCATGCTTCCAGAAGCCACCACAACTTTCCTCGACCATGCCCTAGAAATGTGAAGGCAGCAGTTCGAAGGTTAAGGGTAAAAGCAAAAGCATCATGCCAGCTCAGAAAGTGGAGAGCTGTGTGGGGCTGTACCCCCATGTGTGGGCATCTGTGTTATAGGTTGAGAGGGTCAACTCAGGGTCCCCACCTGAGGCCCATATCTTTGGCTCCTGTCCAAAATGAGCTCCATGACAATAACCTTTTGCAGTGTTGGTGTACTGCAAACCAGGTGCAATGATTTTGAGTTAAAAAAAAAAAATGTACTGTTGGGTGCTGGTGGACAAGACTCTACACACACGTCGAGCAGGAGCCAAGGAAGAGCAGCCCTCACCTGAGCCTTAAACTTTGAGAAGCAGATCCTGCCAGATCGGGGCTGGAGACTCTGCTTTAGGGTCCTGTGTGAGAGCTAGACTGCAATCTGCCCCTGAACCAGTAGGCCATTGCCCTTGAGGTCCGTGGTATGGCTACATAGATGCGTGTCGAGATGCAGTTTGGGGTCATCAGGGCCTCCACCAATCAGCCAGCACTGCTGGGAGTGAGGTCAAGTGCAAGGAAGCATACTCTCTTCCAGGTTACCTTAGAACACAAGGCTGATGAAAGACACCTCCATCCACACAGCTCAGTTAGAACAGGGACAAGCGATTAACCACCAGAGACACCCATGGGTAGGAGCAAGCCTTAGGGGCTCTTGCTAGCTGTAAGGCCTGCTGACATGGGGCCCCAGGTGGGGTTGGGTCCCTACCAGGCCCATGCTTCTGTGTGCTGTCACTTGTTCCTTTAACCTTTCCTGCCACCGTGTGACTCCTGTGTTAGCGACCTACAAGACCGGGTGTCTTCACCGGGACTCATGACAGCTTATCTCTGTCTACCTTTCTTTAAAGCCAGCTGAACATACCCAATGCTCTCCCTCTATGGTAAGACTGACCCTCCAGATCATGTGCCCAGCTGCCATGCCCCCCACCCCTGCCCTGAGCACCCCCCCTCTTACCCCAGCCTCAGAGTCTCTCAGCCCAGCCGGGCTCCCAATGCATGTTGCCGCCGTGCTGTGGCTGTCATGTGCCTTGCCTGCCTGTCTTGTGCGAGCTGTGACAATGCCGTTTGTGGGGTGGTGGTCACTGAGCCCTCCCAAGTGTCCTTGGGGGTGGTAATTCACTGTGGTCTTGACTATCTATCCTGTGAGCCACTGGGAGAGAATTGGACCCGAGAGCCATTTCCTGTTCCACATCCTGAAGATGCTGCCGGTGAAAGCTTCCGGCCTTAATTTGATGTGGGGTATTTGTAAGAGAGTGCCTCAGAGAGCCACACCAGGGCAGAGGTGGGGAGGGAGTTTGCATGGCTGGGGGAGGCAGATGCTAGGCTCCTGTTAAGCAATGTCTGAAGCCGCCATCTTCCCAAGCAGTCTGTGTTTAAGGCCGCTGGGGAAGGTTCAGACCAGGATTTCTCAGGAGGGAGGTTGTTCCATTAGGCTGTGCCCATTTTTGTGCGGCAGGCAGGAAGCAGGGGAGCCAAGTGGCTCACTCCTAATTCAGGAGCTGAAAGATGCCATGCAGGTGTCCTTGAGGTCTCCTTAGGGGCAGCCTCCTCTGAAGCCGCTGGCATCACACTTTTCATAGTGACCTAGGAGGTAGTCCTTGGAAGGATCAGGGATTCAATTCCCTAAGCACAAGCAGGACTGGGTGAGTGGGTGATATGTGACAGTGCAACAGGTCATTGGCCAAAAGACTGCCAGGGAAGGCTGTCCTACAGCTTCTCCACCCCAGTGCCCAAGGCCATAGGCCTCAGTCAATGGGGAGAAACCTGCATGTCCAGATGGCTGTGCTCCCCCTGGGGACATGGTCCGGAACTGCAGCCATGGGGGGAACTTGGGCAGCATCGGAGCTCACCCTGCAAGCCTGGCTTTAGGCGGTGGTAATTTTGACCTCTTCAGGTCCAGAGGTCTCCACAATAGCCCGTTCTCAAGCCATGACCCCTGCAGCTCAAGTTCACTGCCGAAGCCTGTTCCTCTCCTGTCCCAAATATTGTGGAACTGAAACCTGAGTTCTAGCACCCTCAGCCACTGCTGCCTGCTTCTCTTGGGGACACAGCCAGAGCTGGGGCTGTCCAGGTGGCAGAACCCCTACGCCTACAGGGCTCTCTTCCCTCTGCTTGTCAGGATTCAGGAACGCGAGGAGAAATGGAAGCAGCTCTGCTTTTGAAATATGAGGGTCTTCAATGATGTTTTCAAAACACATCATCCTGAATGTTTTCAATCAGCCCCGTACGAGGAAGGCTTTGACCTCTCCTGAGACACCAGTCCAAGGCTGTGCCCTGGCTCCCTGGTAGCCCCAACATGGAGGCAGGGGGGAATTGGGGACAGGGCCATGTCACCCTGGGGAACCTGCCTCCCTCACGGGGTCCCTTCCCTGACTAGGAGAAAGAGGAGCAAGTGAACAACCAAGGTGTGGCTCGAGAGGAAAGAATGGCTCTGGAGATCATGACAACCAGAGTGTGAGCAAAGGTGAACGGAGAAGCAGGAGGGCCAAAATGGTTGCAACAATGACCCAGAGACACTGCCTCCCTCGAGGGAGACACAGGATAGGAACAGGCACAGGCACCTCAAAGGGTCCATTCTCTCCTGGTAGGCACCAGTAGGGCTGGGCAAGCTGCACTAGCTCCAGGGGTAGGAAATGGAGGGGAACCAGTGGCTCAGCCTGCCAGGGTGGACAAGGTTGGGTGGGGGTGAGAGGTGGGGCTGGGGTGGGATCAGTACATGGTACACTCAGGTCTGGAGGCAGAGGTTGGCAGTGCTCAAGCCCCTAGGCTGCTTCACTGAGGATGAGTTTTTGGCCATGATCCCTTGGGTAACCCATGCCTCATGGTTCTCCTTTCTGCCAACTTTAGCCCCAGTGCCACCTTGCCTGTCTATCAGGACTCCCTGGCAGGAGATGGTATGCCCTAGGTGGGACCCACACCAGGGGGCTGCCTCCTTGCTGCTGCTTCTCCCTTGCTGCCACCCTGCAGGGTCATGTGCGGCCTTCAGAGAGGGGGTGGAAGGAAAGAAGCCTATTCAAAAGGCAAGGCTTGCAGCCCAGGCCTCAGTCCAGCTCTAGCCTCTCTCCCCTCACCTCCTAGCTAGGCGGGGCCGACTTGAGTGGGCAGCTGATTCCTGCCAAGGTGGTCTCCATCATTGCTAGAAGATGGGGCACTACCTGCCCAACCTGTGAGTTGGGTCTGGTCCTGTACCGTAATGTTGGACTTGCCAGGCTGGACCGCTTCCTCCTGCAGGGCAGCTGGCTGTAGGCCTCAGAGACTTCAAGCGTCTGGGAGGTCCCTATGGAATCTGCCAGTGCTCCTTCCAGGGCATCAGAACTACGGATGAAAGGGAAGACGGCTAGGCAGGGCCATGAGCACAGGGGCCTGGGCACAGCCTGGCTCTGTGGAGACCATGCACTTGGGCTGTGTACCCTGCCAGGTGGCCCTCTAGCCTCCAGGGATGCAGATGGGAGTCTTGTGCAGCTGAGCCCACCCTGCTTTGCCTGCCCCACCCCGAGGGCCCCTTCCTCCCCCTCGCCGTGTTAACTGCACCCTGTTGCCCATGGATTCCAGAGCGCAGAGGAGAATTCCCGTATCTCCATCACCTTCTTCCGCCTCTTCCGGGTCATGCGCCTGGTCAAGCTGCTGAGCCGCGGGGAGGGCATCCGGACATTGTTATGGACCTTCATCAAATCCTTCCAGGTAGCCACACCCTCTGCCCACACCCAGCCTGCCTGCCTGCCTGGGGCAGCCAGCTCTGTTCCACACTGCAGGCCTGACTCGTAGCTATGGGACAGTGCTACTTGGCGACTTCTTGGCTTTCCTTGTTAATGAGATGAGAAGCACAGATCAGCTCCAGGCTCCTAGAGCACCTAGATCCCCTCCCTGTGCCTTCCTAGGGTACTGTCTGTCTCTGCAGTAATTGGCTGGATAGAGTGGCTTGTGGTATGGAACTGATATGAGAAACATGAGCCCAGGGGTTACCGGATAGCCCCCCTGGTCCCTTCACACCCAGCATTTTCAGAATCTGGCTGTTCTGTAAGCATTTCTTCTGCACACACTTGTGTCTGTGGTTACCTGGGTCCTCAGGACCCACCAGGGAGGGAGGGCCCTGCACAGGACATAAGAACACTTAGCTGTGCAGTAAATCCCTTTGCTTGCTCCTCAATTTCCACCTGTGAAGGCAGAATAGTGATTGCTCCTGGCCAGCGTCGGGGTCAGCTTGCAAGTCTGAAATTAAAGACAAGCAAAGCTCTAATTCCTAGAAGCTGAGTGTGCGAACCTCTCAATATGGCGCCTTCCCTCCCTGGCCTGGAGCCGTAGCAGGGCTGCTGCCCACCCAGGACGTGACACTCACCAACACTGTCCTCTGTCCTGGCCAGCTCAGGTTGGGTGGCTGTGGATTCAGCAGGTGCCTGCAATGGGGCCTCTCCCCAAAGCACACCACGCCCAGTGAAGCCTCTGATCCAGGCCATATACCACAAACCCACAGCCCTTCTGGCTGTGTCCAGGCTGAGCCTCCCCCTCCCAAAATCAGCCTGCTCGGCCCCAGGATTCTGTCTTCAGCGTGCCCTTCCCGCCCCTCCACCCTCTCCCCTACCCCAGTATTTCCCTGGGCTGGAAAGAAGACATAGGTGGAGTCATGGACCAAAGGAGGAAACTTGATTATGGAGAAGAAATGACACTGTGACCAAGAAAGCATTGCTTGGGCACACAGTACCCCCTAGTGGCTCTGGGCACTGGCTAAGCAGAGAACCTGCACAATGGACTTTCTCACACCAAGGGTACCCCATGCCGCCACACCTTTCCCCTAAAGTGGTGAAGCCTCTGGGAGATAAATGTATCTGAGCCACTGGGCTGATGCTATGCTGAGTGCAATCCACATCGGTGCGAGACATTGCAACCATGCACTGTATGAGCTTGGAAGTGTTTAAGTGCTAACTCCCGAGAGGTAATTATTACTATGCCCATTCCTCAGAGGAGGAGATGGAGCCCAAGGGATGCCTGAGCTCCTGCTGCTAGCAGGTGGCAGAGCTCCATCTTTGTTCTGTCTTCCTGCTACAATAGTAACACTGGCTCACTGCAGCTCTCAGAGCAAAAGCAAGCTGCCCTCTGTGTCATCACCAGGAGCAGCCCCACCGCGTTCTCCTTGCTCACCTGTCCTTAGAGACACAGGAGCTCTCCCCACACAAGTTACTCTACACGCCTTCTTTTCCTGTCCCAGATCACTGTTGCTGCTCAGGGGGGTGGTTAAAACCCAAGCCAAAATGTGAGGTCACCGCCCATTGCCAAGGCCTCCTCCTAGTCCCCAGGACTTCTGTGCCATACTGGCTGCAGAGATGGGGGTGCAGTGCTTCTCTGAGGGGGGGGAGGACCTGGCCTGTGTCCCCCAAGGCCTTACAGCAATGCCATGCACTTCCTTGCAGGCCCTGCCCTACGTGGCCCTGCTGATCGTGATGCTCTTCTTCATCTACGCTGTGATCGGGATGCAGGTAGGCAGGGCCACCCAGCAGGGCCCCCACGCCTCTCACCTGCTCTTCCAGTATCCAACCACACCTCCCTCTCTGTCCCATCTGAGGGTGGAACACCCCATCCACCACCAGTTGGTCACCTCCTCCAGGTAGCGGGGCAAGTGATCAAGTGTAGGGCAGGCAACACAGATCCTCCTTCCCTTGGCCCCAGGATTAAGGCTGCTCTTGCTGGAGGAAAATGCTTCCTGAGACCCAGGCCCTTCTCAGGAAATAGCCTGAATAGTGAGCCTGCCCAGATACCCTGCTCTAGCCAGGTTTGGTGACCTTGAAGATGACTGTCTAGCCATGCTATCGTGGCCAAGCCAGTGGCTAGGCGGACAGAGCCAGGCCCAGCCCACGGAGCATTCACAGTTCACTGGGCCCGTTCTTGCTCATTCCCACGGTACCTTCTCCTGCCTCACACCTGGAGCTCCCAGCCCCTCTCCAGGACTCTGGCTGTGTCTCCAAGGTGAACACACCAGAACTTCCCCCTGGCTGCCCTCCACAGCAGCCCTGAGCTACCCTTGGTGACTCCCTCTGTGTGTTCAGTGCAGAAGGCCTCCCAGGGACTCAGGTGCCAGCATCTGTTGAGAATCAAGGGTGGTCATTTCTAAAAGGAGTGTAGCTTTAGCAAGACCAGGGAGGAAAGAGGCCTAGAATTTGGAGGAAAAGTTAAGCACTCCAAAGCCAGGAGCCCAAGCTGGAGGAACACTTGGACACATCGAGTTGGTTTGGCAGTTGGGAAAAGGCTACGAGCTCTGGGTGCTGCCCGGAAGCAGGGACCCTGCCGCAGCAGCCACAGCTCACAGCCCTAGATTCCCCCTCCCACCCAGCTGCCTTGGGCTGCGGGGAACTTTTCTAAGGGCTCAGGACACCTTTCCCCTGCCCCTCATCAGGGTGAGGATCTGGGGTCAGAGGCCAATTGGGTGGCAGGTGCCTACCAGGTTGCTCTGTAGGACTGTTCCCCTTGGACTTCACCTGTACTGACCCGTCCGCCCCCCTCCCCGACCAATCCCCAGCTGAGACCATGGAACAGTGGTCAAATAGGAGGACCCTCTGTCCATGGGTCACCAACTTCCTATTCGTCCTCCCCGATAGGTGTTTGGCAAAATTGCCCTGAATGATACCACAGAAATCAACCGGAACAACAACTTCCAGACCTTCCCTCAAGCTGTGCTGCTCCTCTTCAGGTAGGTCTCTAAGGCACAGGTGCAAGATACAGCCTGGGTCGAAAATCCCGCATCCTGTATTACCTTAAGTTGCTCTTGGTCCCTCACATTCCTGCTGTCACCAGGGGATCACCAGCCAAAGCCTGAACTGGTGATCTAAAACACAGGTTTGAAATGGGAACAGGCTCCAGACCTTCCTCGCACTGCCCTGTGGTCCTCAGCAAGGTGTCTTATTTCTCTACCATCAGTTATCCTGCAGAGTAAACACAAAGGTAGATCTGTTTTTCCAGCATCTGCCAGTTGTGTATCCATGTGCATTGAGTTGTATCTCCTGGTAAGCCATCCTTAAGTTCTGTCACCCAACTTGGGGCTCACTGCTGCTCCTGGGGGAGTCTGTGCTCATTGCCTCCACCCCATACACATACCCATCTGCCTTTCCCTGCTTCTCACAGCCCAGAACTCAGGGATCCTTCCTAGTCTGCGGTACAGAGATGAAAACCATGTTTTCTCCCTTGTCCAGAGTATTTCTTCAATCTGTGCTGGCTCATGTGTCGGGCTACACAGGATGGCACTAGGATTAGCAGCGAACCATTTTCTGTTCCCAGGGTCCCTTTCCAGGGCCCATAGATCCCTCTGTGGATCTGTCACCCACTCAGCATGTTCTACAGAACCCTTTCCTCACGCCAAGCACAAACCTCATTATTGCAACACTTAAGCCTGTGTCACATTTCAATATGGGAACTGGACACTATACTCAGAATAAACATGAACCCTATTTCCACTTCTTTCCTGAAGTCCTTGATGATCAAAAATAACTTCTTTGAAAAATATTTATTCTTATTTTTATTGGAAAGGCAGAGTTACAGAGAGAAGGGTGGACAGAGAGAGAAAAAGATCTTCCATCTGCTGGTTCATTCCCCAGTTGGCTGCAATGACCTTGGACAATGGAGAACCAGGAGCTTCTTCTGGGTCCCCCATGTGGTTACTGGGACCCAAGTACCTGAAACATTCTCTGCTGCCTTCCCAGGTCACAAATAGGGAGGTGGATTGGAAATGGAACAGCTGGGATGCAAACCAGTACCTATATGGGCAGAGGCTTAGATGGCTATGCCATGATGCCAACCTCTGGATATAACGTTTAAAATTGATAAATGTATAATAGTGCTAGGAGAAGCAGGCTAAATATGGAAGGAGCATGCTTGGTGAGCTGGAAGTGCTGTGGGATTCCCAGCTGGAAGAAAGGAGATGCGATCCAGTCGACAAAGACCCAAGACCTGAGTCAAGCACTGTTCCAGACAAGGGGACTGCGGTAAGAGCAGCCCAGGGCCTGTCTGAGCTCAGGGCCAACAGGCACAACACACTGGGATTTGAGGAGCGCTTGCTCCTGCTCACAAGGAGGACATGGCAGCACATAACACTGCACCCTTGGCGGTTGCTGAGACATAGCAGGGCTCTCTTTTCAAGAAAAGCTGCTTGGCAACACAGCTCCGAAGCCCGAAGAGGCTTCTGGGCTGAGAAATGTATCCACGAAGACCTAGGCCGGGTTCTCAGTCACAAACAATCACCATCACAAAGTACCTGGGTAAAACAGACAGTGTGAAAAAGAGGTACCACACTCGACAAACAGATGGTCAAGAACCCGGGAAGAATACTAAGTAGAGGCCCCTGATATGAAAAGAAGTGAAGCTCATGTCTTTAATGAGATGACAGCAGGCAACACATCTGGCCAGTTTAGAAGCAGAGGCAGTAGCAACTGCTATTAAAAAGGACATAAGCGAGAGAAAACCCAGGAAAGAAAAACACATATCTTGATGATCCTTAAGTGAAGAAAGGGAGCAGCCAAAATGTGAACTTGGGAGCTGAGAGATCGACCAGCTGAAAGAAAAGAGAGTCTCTGCCATTGTGCATGCCCGCCATGATGGGCATATGACTGAATGAACTATAGTCATGATAGAGGGGACCTCAGTGAGAGGGAAGGGAATTGGGGAGGGGATAAGGGAAATCCCAGGGTCAATGGAAATGTATCATAAAATCATAATAATAGGAGTTTAAAAAAAAACAGAGAAAGAAAATGTGAAATCAAAATTAAAACAGGTTAGAGCAAGAAAAATCTCTTTTTAAAATTTTTTTAAAAGATTTATTTTATTTTTATTGGAAAGGCAGATATACAGAGAGGAGAGAAAGAGAGGAAAATCTTCCGTCTAATGATTCACTCCCCAAGCGGCCGCATTGGCTGGAGCTGAGCCAATCCGAAGCCAGGAGCCTCTTTGGGCCTCCTGCGCGGGTGCAGGGTCCCAAAGCTTTAGGCCATCCTCGACTGCTTTCCCAGGCCACAGGCAGGGAGCTGGATGGGAAGCCGGGCTGCCGGGATTAGAACTGGCGCCCATACGGGATCCCAGGCGTTCAAGGCGAGGACCTTAATCACTACAGCATCGAGCTGGTTGCCAGAAAAATCTCTTTGTAATAGAAATTCCTAACCTAGTTAACAAAAGAAACAAAGAATACAAAATAAAGGAATGATAAAATAAACTTTCCAATAAATATATAAAGTTGCAGATTGCGATGACCTGCGAAATGCAGCGCACATTAACTCAAAAACTCTTACAAGGACACAGTATGGTGACTTTTTGATGACAGGAATAGACAGTTTGCTACAAGCTTCCAAAGAGGAAGCAATCATAAACATAGAAGAATGGGTGCCTTTGAGACCAGCATGAATCTGATGGCAAATCAGATGAGGCTCCCATGGGAAATTGCAGTCTCTGATGAATACAGATACAGAAATCCTCAACCAACAAGAACTGAAGAAACAAAATTGATGCAAGGTACACAAGGATGCTTCACCACACACACACACACAAACAACAAAGGTGATGTGGCACATTAATTAAAAAACTATGTGAGTGTCTCATAGACACATTTCATTTGATGAAATGCAGCATTCGTTCATAAAAAAGACACTTGGCAAATGAGGCAGAGAATGAGTGGATCTCAGACAATACAGGCCACATCTTGTAAACCCCAGCAGGGATCAGATTCAGGGAGGAGTGGACCGCTCATCCGCCAAGATCAGAAACTGGACAATCATGGCCATTGTCACTGCCGCTGTGTAACACACAACTGGACATTCTCGTCAGAACAAATAAACAAGTAAAAATAAATGAATTAATAAAAGGCATCCGAACAGGAAAGGAAGGAGTGAGTTATCTCTGTAAAGGTTTTCTATATAGGAAACCACAAAGACTTGACTGGAAAAAAATTAGGTAGAACTGATAAAGGATACAAAATACACATGAAAAAATTCCTATAGAACCTCCTAAGATCCCCCCAAGTAGCTAAAGCAATCTTGAAAAGAAATTGAAAGTAATACTACCCAGCTTCAAAATCTACTGCAAAGCTACAGGAGTGAGAATGGTGTGTGCTACAGAAAAGCAGACACAGCTAATGTTAACAAACTAGATTCCAGAGGCATAGCTGTACATCTAGCCAGTTGATGCTTCAACAAACGAAACAGGAGCATATGGCAGCAGCAGAATGTCACAGCGCTTAAAATACCCTGTGGGATGCGGACATTCAAATACCACACTGTCCAGGTTTGACTTTTGACTCTAGCTTCCTGTGTGTGAAGGGATAGCTCAAATGTTGGTTTCCCTGAAATCCTTGTGGGAGCCCTGGATGGAATTCCTGGTTCCCGCCTTTGGCCTAGCCCAGTCCTGAGCACCATAGGTATTTGGGGAATGAATCAGCAGATGGAAGCCCCTACCCCCCAACAATTAAATATATATTTTTAAGAAAAGAATATGCAATAGAGAAAAGACAGTCGATTCTACAGTAGTTGCCAAAAGAGAAAAAAAAATTGAATTGCTTTCAACAGTATAAATTAATGTCAGATTTTTCATCCACAAAAAATATGTGCTAGAAAACAATGGGATAATATGTTCAAAATGGTGAGGAAAATGTATTTTTGAACCTAGACTCCTACTTGCAATCAAATCAGCATTCAAGTAGCAAAGCAAAATATAGACATTCGCAAAACTTTAAGAACAAGAAAGGTATTTCCTCATATAACCTTTCCTCGGAGCAGTTATACAACAACACGCTTTCAAAAATGCAGAGTGAAACAGAATGTACAAGATGCATAAGTAAAGAACTTGTAAAGTTATGCTGAGCAGTTTAAACGCATCAATTTTAGTTTATGATCAGTGTAAGTAATTGTCAAGTGGGGGATCCTGTCCACTGTCGTTTTTCAAGGCATGAACTAGCATGTAGATCTCTCTCCTCTCTCTCTCTCCTTCTTTATCTATAACTCTGCCTTTCAAGTAAATAAACCTTTAAAAAGATAAAATTACAAAAATAGAAGAAAGGATAAAGAATACATAAAAAGCATGCTGAAATAACTTACTCTAACAGATTTGTACTCAATAAATGGCAAAAAAATATTCCACACTTTTGAGCACTCAGAAATATTCACAAAATTGAGCCAGAACTTAAGTCATGACAAAAATTTGGTAAACTCTGAAAATTCTCTGACTCAATATAATAAATTTAGAAATTAACTATAACAACAATAGCCTCTACAAATCCATGTCCTTAAAATATTTAAGTCACTCTTTTAAATAAATCAAAGCTGAAACCACAAAACGCTTAGAAATGAGAGAGTAGGAGCACTCTGTCTTAAGTATATAAGATAAGCCAATAAATTCCAAAGAAACAGAACCCCAAATTCATCTAATAACTAAATGTTTTAAGAGAAATTGGCCAGTAAATATTGAAGCACAAAATAGCCCCAAAGTATAAGGGGATGCTTTTAAAATTTTAAAACAATAACCTAATCCACATGTGGAACAAAGAGTCCATCAATAAACTTTAAAGTTTATTTCCTGGGAAAGATTGATAAATAAATAAACTTTGTTCAACTCCAACTTGGACAAAAGATAACAGTGGAACTGCAGAAGTCCTTGTAGTTAGAATGTAGCTGAGAGAATCATATTTCTTTTATTTTGTGACACCCTAGAGATAAGCAGATACCAGGAACTCAGGGCAGGGGACTGTGAGCACCAACTCTGAACTATACTTACTCACTTATTTGAGATGTTATGTGATCGTGAGCTTGCTGCTGACACTCTGGGCAAAGAATGGATGTCATAAAATGGGTGACAGATGAGGCTTCCCTATGTAGCATGACTGAATGCACCTGCTGCTGGGTAAGGGACACTTATTGTTACACTTGGGAAAACTGAACAAAGAACAGTTGTGTGATGAATCCTAGTTTTCTCGGTTCTGTTATTGTAAAGATAACAGCTTGAGGATATTCCTGGATTGAGTGGCCCCTTCTCACCTGGGGTCCAAAGCTAACCCTCAGAATTGTCAGGTTCCCCCCAAAATGTTGTGCAAAGCCCCCTAGACAAGAATGGTGAGAATCCCAAGACCAATGCATGCATGTCTCCATGTCTTGTTACCGCATGAATCCTGCAACCAAAGCAGCCGCATGCTCTGAGAAACAACATGTGGAGATCAAGAGGCCAAAGGATGTGCTCAACGTGTGGCACAGAGAATGGGAACCAAAGGCAAATGCCAGGGACAGACTACCAAGAGATAGAGGCTGTGTGCTATGAGAACCTTGGCCTCTAGTCGGAGTCCAGCCAGAGCTAAGATTTTCTACGAGTAGCAAATAAATAGGATCAGACCATAAGTACAAACTAATAACAACAACAACAATAATAACCCTGTGATAGGTATTTAGCCTACCAGAGACCTTTCAATCTTGGGATTCAATCTTTGGCTCCAGGTCCTGCCTCCATCTTTCCGCTAATGCAGATCCTGGTAGGCAGTAGTGTGGGTTCAAGCAGGTGTGTTCTGAGTCCTGGAGCACAGACCGAGTTCCCCACTATGTCCTTCAATCTGTCCCAGCTGTGCTCATTGCAGGCATTTGGGGAGTGAACCAGAAAATAGAGATATTCTCTCTTTCTCTCTCTGCCAGAGAGTTCAAAGAAAATTACAGAAAAGAGAGCATTATATGGATTCATTTATGCAATACATTTTAAAACCTTTTGGTGTAGGAAAATACGAACCATCAAAATCTTAAGAATAAATTTGAATTGAAGGGATGATCAAAGTTTCCATCTCCCAGAAGACCCAAGATCCAATAGGCTCCCTTGTGGAGCCTCCCATGATCAGCCCTGTGCTGCCTGAGCTCTGCAGGGAACACCTCCCTGTTCAGCAGCACAGAGGAACACCACGGAGAGAGACTAGCAAATTACACATATGAACATGAATGGCTGCCATTGATGACTCGTGCAAATCAATCGAAAAACACAACTAATATGATAATACTATACCCATGATATAAACAACATCCTACTGTTAGTTTTATCATCAAAGGATAAGAATTGGAGAGAGAAGACAAGATTACATGACAAAAATCTGATTGCATTTGCAGAATACAAAAGAGGAGCTATAGATAAATTAAAACCAGAAAGAACATTCAGTTGGCCTGTATATAAGACATCAATGCTGGCTCTTCCCCATTAGTAACACACGGACACAACCTTTAAATTAGGCCATTTTAATTGTAGCAGAATAGATACATAGAGATGAGATTTTTTTTTCTCATGAGATGTGTTTTGGGGGAACCAAAAAATTTTATTGAAGACTTCTTTGACTCATAGTGTCAGAGGAAGAGAAAGGAGAGAATTCCCATACCTACAGAACCGTATGATGGAAAATAATTTTTAAAAACTTAAAAAACAAGTTACCGATACACCTCAAAATGAAAATTAAAAATTACATTTTGGCAATGTTGAATTTGAAATTTATATTTCGATTTCTAGATTAAGACTTCAGAAGAGAAGTGTATGGCTATAGACAGAAACTTAGGAATTTGGGTGGTATTTAAGCTCTCCTCTGTTATTATATAATATTGGAAATTTCCATGACATGAGTTTGTGTAAGCTGCTCTTGCCATCCAAAGGGAGGAGTACCAGGATGGATATCTTAATTTGCTTTACTATATTAGTAATCATATATTCAAATATATTGGAAAATATTATGTTGTTCCTTAGCTGTACAAAATAAAATTGATTGTAAATGTAAAATAAAAATATTTTTTTAAAAAAGGTATAGTAAGTGGGACAGTACAAATAGTGGGACATACAAATAGTCCATGTAGTAGGTATCTCAGGTCAGCAGGTAAAGGTGTACTATTTGATGAATAGTATGAGGAAAATTTATTACACAGAAAGATGAAAGCATAATTATCACTGATGTGGAACACAGAATAAATTCTGTGAGTTATTGTGAAAAATAAAACTTCGGAACCTTTTGAAAAGCATAGAGGTTAGTATCTATGACCTAGAATAAATAAGGAGAGATTTTTTTTTAATGTATTATTTATTTTATTTGAAGGGCAGAATTGCAGACTGAAGGGAAAGTAGAGATAGAGGCAGGGAGAGAGAATTTTCCCAAATAGTTACAATGGCTGGAGCTGGGTCAGGCTGAAGCTAAGAATCCAAAACTCCATTCAGGTCTCCCCAAGGGTGGAGGAGCCCAAGCACTTGAGTCATCAGCTTACATTGCCTTTCCGGGTGCATTAGCAGGGAACTCACCAAGAGCAGAGTACTCTAGGACAGGCACTCTTAAGGAAGGCTAAGCTCAACAGGCTGCACCACAATGCCTGAAGGGTTCTTTTAGATGAGATGCAAAAGAGCATTCATCAAAATACACTACAAACAGACAAGAGGCAAGCCACAGACTGGAAGATACTTGTAACGCATATTAACACCAAGAACGGGATCTGTAAGGAATACGGAAAGGATCTTACAAATCAACAACAACAAAAAACCAATAACCTGGAATCAAGCAAGCAAAAATGTGAACACGCAATTTAACTGAAAAGAAAACTCAAATTCTCAATTCATTTGAAAACATCCATGAAATAGTATTGAACACACTGAGTGGCATTTTTTAGAATTCACTACAAAATACCAAGTTGATGGTAGGAATCTAAATTGAACAAACACTTGGAGAGAAGAAAGGCCTACTACCAGTGAAGATACTTGCACTTTCAACTGGCAAAGGCACTTCTAAGCAGATACCCGAAGTGTGGATTTGCATGTTTATTTCAGTGTTATTTGTAATAGAAAAGGTGGGTGGCAGGTATTGGAGCAGAGTGGATTAACCCATCACTTGAGAGCCAGGAACTGAATTCAGGCCTCTAGTGGGTGGCAGGAACCCAGTCCTTTCACCCACAATCACTGCTTCCCAGGGTCGGCATTGGCAGGAAGCTGGAGTCACGAGGTGGAGGTCACTGTCAAGCCTTGGTTATCTGTTGTAGGATTCATCCATGTTCACCACTAGGCCAAATGCTCACCCTGAATTGTCTTAGTAGTATGTTCATAGAGTGAATATTCACACAGCAGTCAACAGGAATATACTGGAGCTACTAAAACATTGATAAAGAGTGAGTTTTAGGAAAGGAATGATGTTTATACACAGCTTCTGAACATTCAGAATAATGCTTCCTATATTTTCAGCTTTTGTGAGCAATCAGAGTGATAAACACCACACATATCCAGTAATTCCCTGTATGGAGGGTACTCCAACTGCATCTAAGATGTTGATTCCATGGGTCTTGGCTTCATCTCGCCTCTCCCCCAGGTGTGCCACGGGGGAAGCCTGGCAGGACATCATGCTGGCCTGCATGCCAGGCAAGAAGTGTGCCCCTGAGTCTGAGCCCCACAACAGTACAGAAGGGGAGACGCCCTGTGGCAGCAGCTTCGCCGTCTTCTACTTCATCAGCTTCTACATGCTTTGTGCCTTCCTGGTAAGCCAAGGAGGGATTTGGCAGCCGCGGGCGCAGCCCAGGCGCTTAGTCATAGAACCTGATTTGGGAAAAGGAAGTTACTAGGCATGCGCAACCACATCAAGATACAGAGAGGATGTCCTGGGCCAGAGGGAGTTCGCCCATGTTCTTTCTGTCCACTCTTGACATTGTCCCAGAGGACAAAGGGGATGTGTGGAGGCCAGAAGGGAACTTACTCTCTTCTGTAATGCTGTTGAGTCCTTAGGGAAGGATGGTAGCCCACCCCAGGCAGTGTGATATAAGGGACATTTCCGGCCTACATATGGGCTTATGCCATATTATTCTCAGGGGAGCTATAGATCCATTTTAATTTTTGAAAGAGACCCAAGATCTAGGAGCTGGTGTTGAAATAGTGACATGGTTCTGGGATTTAGATATTTTTGCTATTCCACTTTGCATGAACACTGGCTGGTGAAGTGGCGTCAAGTGACCAGGGAATGGGAAAGCCCTCTTGGAGAGCCTCACTATACTGTTTTCTGCAGATCATCAACCTCTTTGTAGCCGTCATCATGGACAACTTTGACTACCTGACAAGGGACTGGTCGATCCTTGGTCCTCACCATCTGGATGAATTTAAAAGAATCTGGGCAGAGTATGATCCTGAAGCCAAGTGAGTGCTCAGAGGGCAGCCTGATCCCCCAAGCTGAGAGGGTACACCGAAAGACCAGACCTGCCAGTTCCATCAGAAACCTGAACTGCACCAGATCGTGGTGTGAAGGGTCAGGGCCCAAGCACCTTGGACTTAACCTGAAGAACTTCTGTCGCTCTCACTGGAGCAGGTGGATAGGAGCTCCTGGTGGCAGGAATGTGTGCTAAGTACAGATGGGCTCTAGTTTCCCATGGCTTGATTTCAGATTTTTTTTTTTTTCAGTTTATGCTGATGTGAAAATATATGCCTGTTGGGTAGGGAACATACTTCGAAGTTCAAGTGAGTGTGTTTCCTTAAGTCAGCAACAGGCAATCCCTTCTTCAGTGCGGGGCAGCAACACTGAGTGTAGCGCCCAGCAGCATCGTGCTCTCTAACTGCTGGGAGTAGTACACTGCGCACTCCCTTTGCTAAGTGATATTTTTAGGCTCAGGGTGTTGAGTGCGTTGTTGATTCACAGTATTTTCTACTAATGATGGGTTTATCAGAATGTGACACCTTCATGAGTCATGTAACATATCTGTTCTATGCTTGTCTAGGGTCTGAAAACACCCTCATACCCAATCACTTTTGATTCACACTCATGAAGCACCATGTAACTGTATAGTTAGATAATAGAAGCAGCAAGTGCCTATTGAGCTTTTAATTGCACTTTTTTTTAGGGAGATATTTTATTTTTATTGGAAATTCAGACATACAAAGAGGAAGAGAGTCGGAGAGGAAGATCTTCCATCCATTAATTCAATCCCCCAGCAGCCACAATGGCCCATGCTGAGCCAATCCAAAGCAAGGAGCCCCGAGCCACTGCAAGAGCGAGTGCAGGTGCAGGGTCCCAAGGCTTTGGGCCATCCTCTACTGCCTTCCCAGACCACAGGCAGGGAGCTGGATGGAAAGTGGGGCTGCTGAGACATGAACTGGTGCCCATATGGGATCCCAGCACATGCAAGGCAAGGATTTTAGCCATTAGGCTACCGTGTTGTGTCCTAATTCCACTTCTAAAATCCCCTCCACCTTGAACATAGCACCGACACGAGGTTGTTTATGATCACCTAAGTATGTGTATTGGTTTGGGAGTTTTGCCATTCAGTTCTACATGGTGCTGGCCAATATGGCAACATCATACAGCGTTCTCCTTAGAGGTGGGTCCCTACCCCTCAGGGATGCTTGAGTCCTTCTGCTGGCAGGTCCCATGGTCTTCTGATGGCTCCTCCTCTTCCCTCCTTCCCTTTGTAGGGGTCGCATCAAACACTTGGATGTGGTGACCCTCCTGCGGCGGATTCAGCCCCCACTGGGCTTCGGGAAGCTGTGCCCTCACCGTGTGGCTTGCAAAGTAAGAGACAACCTGAGTTCATGGGCAGCAGAAAGAGAAACTGTGGGATGCAACACATTTATTGGTCTTGTGACCCCTATAAAAGTATATGGAACTAAAGAAGCTAGTCTGGACTAAGTTAGGTTTGAAGGGTCCTTCTGGACTCAACAGAGGAAAAACAGAGCGATTGTCCAAGTCTAAGTGAACTGTGTACCCAGTCATGAACAAAGCTGTCACTGGGTGTGTTGGGTGGACTGGTCAGTTTCTGCTACTCCAACAGTAGATGCAGCTCAGGCTGTTTGCAAAGGAGAGGGGTGTATTTCGGCTCAGGTTTTGGAGGCTTGTGGTCCTAGCCTGGATGGCCCTGTTGGTTCGGCATCGGGAGAAAGTGTGCTTGCTGACAGAGACTCAGGGCAATGCAGAACGTCACATGGCAAGAGGGAGCATACAGTAGACTGCCTATGTCTCTTCCTAAAGCCACCATCACTGGGTCATGGACCCCACCCAGCGACTGCCAATCCAATCACCTCTCAGGACACCGCCTCTCAGCCTTATGATTAGATCAACTTTCCACCAGCTGGGTGCCAGTAACATATGGGAAACAAGGTCCCCGTGGGGCACCAAGGGCATGTGGGCATTTGGGGCATGTCCACACTTCAGCAGCAGTCTCCTAGTCATTGGAACAGGCTTTGGGATTTCTCCACCCTCAGAGAACCACGTATTGGCTTTGGGCATCTGCAGTAAAACACCCAACTGCCTTACTAGACGGGGGCTCTTCCACTTTTATCAGATTCCTAAGTGAGTCCAGACCCAAAAGGGTTCAAACAAACACCCCTGTATTTAGACATATCTGCTTTGCCCTGGGAGTGAGACCCCCCTCTCTAACGGTGTGTAGCACAGCCCTGAAGGAGAGCATCCCCATCCAACTGTCCTTCCCTTTATCACCCGTCTACACCTACTCTTGGAACAGGAATGAGCCTCCAAAGATTGGGGGGTAAGGACAGGGAATTCTGGAGAAATAAAAACATGACAGAAAGATTCAGTTCTGTACATCATCCACTTGAAAACAGAAGCTTTCCCGATTCTAGGACCAAGAAGAGGTTGCTATGGATCTAACCTGTAGTTTCCTCAACTACACCATTAGCAGGGATGCTACGATGAGCTTCTTGCAGGGCCTCCCTCCCCACAACCACAGTGTGTGCTGTGGCACCTGTTGTAGCATCTTCCAATAGAAGTTTAGCTGGGGGTGAGAAAGGAGGGGGAGACAGTCGTGTTCGGCCAGGTATAGAGGTGCATTTGTTCAGAAGCAGAAGGCAGAGTCAGTGCATTGCCAGTGAGTGGGCCTCTACAAGCTTCTCTTACCTGGACTTTCAATGAATACTGCCTGGAAGGCAGGTACCCAGCAAAGCCTGCCATGCAACTTTACGGTGATCAGGGTGGAAGACGGGGTAGGCGTACCTTTGTTCGGTGGGAGACAGTTTCTAATGAGGGTGCATACCATCCCTGCCCTAGCCGAGCTACTCCCTAGAAAAGGCTCTGGATTTTGCTGAACAATCCCAAACTGGTTGGAGGCAGTGTTGTAGAACTCTCAACCTGGGCCACAGAGAGCCAGTCAGTGGCACGGTGGTAGAAGAAAGTAGGTCTTCACTACAGTGGGCAGAGCAAGGATCTGGACAGCTATTGCTTCATCCCTGGACTTCCTGGGTAGGCTGAGGTAAAGGCTCTTACAGACTGAAGATTGAGACTCAGAGGTGTGTACGCGCAAAGTTCCTGATTGGTCAGCAATCCTGTGATCTTTAGAAAATAACGATGGTGCAGTGGGCCCCGGCCCATAGGGGGTGGTTCTTCCAGGATTTCCTTCCAGATAATACTGGCCATTAAGGTTCTTATCTATTGGAGAAGCAAATGACCCCTGGGGATCACTCTCTTAAATCAGTGAATTTCCTTTTGCTATAAGGCAGGCAAGGACATGTGGTATTAAGGGAGATAGACCAGGACACCTGGGGCTAATGGAAAGGGTATGGCTGAACCATGATTTACATTATAGAGGTTTGGTTTCATGAAGAAATTTCAGTTGGACCCAAGCTTCCCCCCTGCCTGAGTTGTGATGTCCCCTCCTAGTACTTCCCTACATGCTTTATGCTCTTTCGAAGTCATCTGCTGTGGTCACCAGTTTTCGCCCCATCTCCCTCCAGCGCCTGGTTTCCATGAACATGCCTCTGAACAGCGATGGGACGGTCATGTTCAATGCCACCCTGTTTGCCCTGGTCAGGACAGCTCTGAGGATCAAGACAGAAGGTAAGGGTCACCCTGAGCCACTGGGGCCACTGCCCAGAAGACCTAGTGGCCAAAGGGGAGCTCAGTGGCCTGTGGGTGCTGTCTGCCCCTCCCGCCTCACACACCATCAGAGCAAGATGACCTGCACACTGAATGCAAATAAGTCTGGCATGTTGGTGCTTCTTTTGTATCCCGAATGGCCTCTGTGTTCCCAACCTGTTTACCCAGAGCCCTGGCATTGCATCAAACCCAGGCCACCACTCTGACTTACATCTCAAAAGTGTCCTATATAGTTCCCAAAACTCAAGCATTGCCTAGAGCCACCCACAGCCACCCAAAGCCACACCTTAATGGGCTTGGCCTGCAGGTCTGTCTGTCTCTCAAGTCCTCAATTCCCTGTTGCCATGAAAAGGACCTGCCTTGAGAAGGCAACAGCCTGGCAGGTGGTGGATGTGGTGGTGGGCATGTCCTGTAATTATACAGGCTGTATCTGGCATGAGGGAACAGCCCGCCCATGGATGCCTGCCTCCCCCCACCCCTTGTCAGAGTATTATCCTATGTGGCTGCATCCGGCTAAGGTCCCCGTCCGCCAGCTACTGTGCTCCAAGGTGTCCTGTGGGTTGGTAGCTGCCTTGGCTAGGATGGGGACTTGGCTTCCCTGAAACTTGCTGGGTGAGAGGCTTGTGAAGTGTGTCTGCACAGCTGTTTCTCTCCAAGAGCTGCTGGCCTGCTGCAGTGCAGCTGCAAGAGGCTCAGAGAGGCCTGCCGTGACTCCAGCACTCTATGGGTGGGGAGCAGGGTGTGTGCACTCTGCAGCAGGGGCAAGGCTAGTCAGCTGGAGCTGAAGCTTGGAGCACATGACGACAGCCGCCACGGAAAGCACAGATGAGGCCAGTGAGGTGCCTTCTTCAGCACCTCAGAGCACCAGGGCAGGAGGACTTGTAGGATTTTCGTTGACTGAATAAACCAGGGAGGAGCCTCCTTTCCTTGAACTCTTACAGAAAAGCAACAGAAGCATCAAAAACAAAGGGAAAGAAAGCCAGTCCAGCAACATGCCTTGTAGAATCATGAACTAATTATAAGAGATGCTAAGTCAATTGCTACTGCCGAACTTTGAGGAAAGCAAAAGCTAAAAAATAAATCAGAAAGCCAAGGCAGTAATACAGTCTGAAATAAATAGACCTGCTTCTGGCTGCATAAGGGACTAAATACAAACATAATATACATGTGGTCCATCCAAGACAGGAGAAAAATTGGAAGAAAATTCATCAATATGGTGATACTGATTATTGCTGAGTGGCAAGTTATGCCCCCCTTCAGTTTTGTCACTTACACATTTTCTGCTATGCATGTTATTGCATTTGTAATCTGAGGGATGGGTGTTCCTCTCCAAGGGGAGGTGTGATAGCTGTCAAAACTCTGAGTTATTGGCACTCAAAGCCAAGCCTAGTGTCACTTAATGTGGTAAATCTCTTCTCCGTGGAGGAGTAATGAAACACTGACACATAGAAGCCAAGATTCAGCCATGTTGCAGCTACACCACCTGGGCGAACTGAAGCCCTCCTGGATAATGGCAGCTGGGAGCAATGCAAAGGAACCCATAAAGACAGTAAAATCCAGATGACTAAGCTGGAAGTGGGGAGTTCTAAGATAAGTGAAGTCATCGGTGTGCAAGCGATTAGCCTAGTTGTAAGCTCAAGAAATCTTGTACACACAAAGCGCTCTCGAGATGGCCACCAGGGACAAGCCTTCTGCTGAATCAGGGCTTCCCCAGACTCGCTAAAACTCTAGGCCTGAAGAACAAAGGCAAGCTCTCAGAAGATACTGGGAACACAGGCAAGTAGATACCAAGCCTGGGCCTTCAGGCCTCAGCTCTCAGCCGTCAGGCTTTGAAAGCAGCGGAGACTGCTGGGAACCGGGCTTTCTGCAGGGTGCTGATAGCACAACCCCAGTGCAGTGGCAAGCCACACAAGCCTTTCCCTTGCAGCATGGAGGGAAGATGCCTGGGGTCCTTAGGTGATCCTTAGGATGCACAGCTCCACAGATCCTTCTGAGAATATACTGAGACCTGAAACACAATGGAACCCTTTTCAAAGACCCATTAGTTTCTTAGATCTGCCATAACAAGTGTTCCCAACTGAAAGGCCTAAAACTCTTACAAGAAAAACTTAGTGGCCCTGGCATGGTGGTCTAGTGGCTGAGTTCACATCTTGCAACTTCCGGGATCCCATATGGGCACCGGTTCTAATCCCAGCTGGTTCACTTCCCATCCAGCTCCCTGCTTGTGGCCTGGGAAAGCAATCGAGGACGGCCCAAAGCCTTGGGACCCTGCGCCCATGAGGATCGGCTCAGCTCCGGTCATTGTGGCCACATGGGAAGTGAATCAGCAGATGGAAGATCTTTCTATATCACCTTCTCTCTGTATGTCTGCCTTTCCAATGAAAATAAACAAATGAATCTTAAAAAGAGAGACAGAAGAAAAGAACATAAAGGAAAACTTTAGTTTCTCACCATTTGGGAGACCAGCAGTCTGAAATCAGGTGTTGGGAGGGCTTATTTTCTGGGGAAAAAATCCATTGCATGCCTGTCTTCTGCCATCTAGTGGTTACCAGACATGCTTGGGCTCACCGCAGCATCACTCAAACCTCTGCCTAACAGTTCTTTGAAAAAGGGTTCCATTGTGTTTCAGGTCTCAGCATCACTCCAGCCTCTGCCTACACCTTCTCAGGGCCACCTTGCCCGGTGTTTTATTAGGAACCACCCAAGGCCACCATGACCTCATTGTCACTAATGTGGGAAGACCCCATTTCCAAGTGGGCTGCATTGCGGGTTCCAGCTAGACGTGAATGTGCAGGGAGAGAATGTTAGGCAACCATAATCCTTGTGCATGATTTATGTATTAATTGGGACTCTTCTGTTGCGTGTGTTGGAAACTACCAACTGCCTGATCTCAAAGGGACTGGGGGGTTTCCTTAACTGAGCTGCGGAGGAGCTGGGTTTTGCTTCAGGACTATTTGTGGGTGATAGTCCGACGAGGTGTCCAGGAGCCCACCACTCCTTCTCCATCACCTCTGTGGTCCAGAGGTAAATTTCAACCTGGGCAGTCTGATGCCCAATCACCCCCTTTGTTGAGCACCACCTCTCTTCTGCCTATAGGATTTCCTGTGGCCCCCTAACACATCACCACGCTCATCCTCAGCTCTGTGGGTACAGCTAAGGAGTTGCTAGCTTCTCTGCTCAGAATCATGCAGAGCCAAAGTCAGGCTGTGGCTGAAGCCTCACTCCTTTCTGGGGCCTCCAGGAAGAAGTCTCCACCTGCAGACTCTTTCACACTGTTGGCAGGTTTCATTTCTTGCCGCTAAAGGCCCAAAGTCCTCTCCCTATTGGTTGCTGGCTCTTAGAGATCATCTCTCTGAATTCAGTTGACGCTGCGGGCCAAAGCCTAACGCCTCACTCTCCCTCAGCTCCTGACTGGAGAGGACTCCCCACTTCTGTAGGATTCCCATGATTCAGTCAGGTTACCTGGCTCAATTCTGTCTTAACATCCTGGCTGCTGAGGAGCACGCCCATTCAGGGCAGTGAAGTCCTGTGACCAGCTGCAGGGATTAATGTAGACTGAGGATGGGAACACCTTGGCAGTCCCTGCTACCACCACCTAAGCCAGTATCCCAGAGGCCACCTTAGGATGGGCACCTTCTGGAGCCAGTCTATCCAGGAGACCCACAGATAATGGAGAGCTGCTGGAGCCAGCATCCTCTACTTCCTGCTTCCTGCTTCCAGGGTGAGGGCGGCCACCCTTTCCCCACATGGGACTGGGAAGACACAGTCTTCAATGATACAGGTGTGTCCCCACTTGCAGATCAGGTCACCTTTTCCCCCCATCACCCATGACTTCTGTGCAGTCCAGGGAGGCCCATGAGATAAGCTGCTGACACAAGAGCCACCCTCTCTGCTCTGTTGGACACTGGGGCTGAGCAGAGGTGTCTGCTAGGCTGCTGCAGAGCCTGCAGTTCTGTCTGGATACCCTCAGGAACTTCACGCCCCCTTGGGCCACCCATAAGAGAAGCAATATGGCACTGTGGGGGATAGTGTTGGCTGGCCAGGTCAAAGCAATGGTATTGTACAGGGAATAGGAGGCAAGGAGGATGGCAAGAAAATTGAGAGATGAAGAGAAAGAGGAAGGCAGTGGCAATGGCAAGCTTAGCAGAAGGAAGGCAGGGAGAGCAACAAGGAAAGGATATGGAAATGAGGCTCTGGGAGAGGCCAATGTCATCATTCAAGACATCATGTTCATGGATGGACCCCATCGAGCGCCCCCTGTAGGGTGCTTGCTGACCCTTCTGATTTGCACCACCCCTTCTTCAGGAAACCTGGAACAAGCCAATGAGGAGCTGCGGGCCATCATCAAGAAGATCTGGAAGCGCACCAGCATGAAGCTGCTGGACCAAGTGGTGCCTCCCGCAGGCGGTAAGCATCGCTGGGCTTTGGGTGCCTCACAGCTGACCACCCACCCAGTTGGGCAACAGCACTGTGAGAAATGTAGACATGAGCCTCTGCTAGTTCACTCAGCAGGCAAGAGGCCTGCGTTTCCCCATATGCCTCTTTCTCTGGGGCTCAAAGAACCTGTCGCTTAGAAGGGACAGGAACTCACAGCCAGATTGCCAGGTAGGGTGGGTGGGGGGATTGGCTGCAGTCGTGCACAAGGACACGTGTGCATGTATGGGAGAAATTCAAAGGAAATCCACTTGATAATGCTCTAGGGAAGCAAAATCCTTTGAGACCCTGCCTTTCTTTTTCCAAGAGAAGAGTATCTCAACCTAATCAAGCTCAAAGCATCTACCCCCAGCTTATTTTTTTTGGTAAAGAGTATGAAGAGACTCCAGAAAAAAAAAATCCTGGAAAGTGGGATTAAGAGAAAAGTTTATGTTTAAAAAATAAAAAGTGAAACCATTTATATTTTTTTACATGATATGCATTTTTCATGAATTTCTTGAAGATGCTTTGTATTGTTTACAACTCCAGATGAAAAACAAAGATAACATCGCAGCATATCTAATTTGTAAAATACTACCGTAATGCTTTCAGTCTGATATATTTTGTAATGAAATATTTTTCAATGCAAGTGCACTTCAGAATATTTACGGGGAATGCAATTATAAGGTCAGCTTACTTTGGTGCAAAATAATTTTGAAAGCCACATATCTGAGAGGTTTACCAAAAAGTTGATTGAAAATACATGTGAACAATACTGGGTGTGAGATTCAAAATGGGTTTCCACCAGATGTTTTGAAGTGCCCCTCATATCCACAACTGTGCTAGAAGTTATACTTAAGCAATGGCCCTTGCTGTCATACACCCATTTGTCATGAACATGTTCGTGTTTAAAAGGAAATAATGCAAAGCTGGGTATTGTCATCACTTTAAATTCATCATCTGCAAACACAGGCTAAACAGTTACACATGCAAAGCACGAGGGATTGCACACATACACGCAGGCGTGTATGGAACTACGACTTGTGACAGCACTGGAGACACCAATGCCATCCACTGTCGGCAGGGAGATGACTTCCCAAGGCACGAATCCGGCACCAAGTCTAGTCCTTCCATGAATGTACACAGCGTTTACATTTCTGGACAGCTCCAGTGTGTTAAAACCAGGCAGAATAGGTTCATAATGAGTGAAATGAAATTTGATTCTCAGCTCAGATCATTATAAACGGTCGCCTAGTACGACGCAACAGAGCCATCCAGAAGACAAAACTGTAATTTGTGCAAAACACACAGCAGTGCTTAGGCCTGCTGAACGCCGGTAGTACGCCCAAATCACTGTGCCCCAGTGCCTGGCTTCCGTAAGAGGTGATGTCTCCCCTGCTGAGAATCATTTCCCAAAGGAAAGCTGGACAGACTAAAACTCATACCTGGACAGGAGTGCATCTTTGATTTTATTTCCACCTTGTAACATTTCTACGGCATTTCCCCAAGGACTAAGAAGAGTTCATAGAAGAAGCTAAGTAGGTGACATGGCGAGGACAGAGCGGATTTAGAATTCAGACCCAGGTCTGAGGGAGCAGGTCTGTGAGCTGGGAGGGAGACCCATCCCTGCTGTGGAGGTCTCGAGGGAACAGAACAGCCAGCACCAGACCTGAGATCTCACCCAGCCAGCTGTCCCCTTCACTGAGAACTTGGACATGGGACCAGGGGATACAGCCTGGGTAGTAGAAATGGCCCCTTGTAGATTTACCGCCTCCCCACCCTCAAACTCACACTCAAGACACAGACCCAGTAGATCATGCAGAAGCCCAATTGCCCAGCAGGATGCCAGCCAAGCCGTCAGGCACCTAACCTAACAAAACCGAGACTCCAACAAGAGGAAAGTCCTCCCTCCATCAACCTCCCCCTTCCAATCTGGAAGCACAAGCTTTGGGCTCAAACAAGAACAATGCCAGATAATTTTCTTTTTAATAAAGAGGGGAGGCGAGAATAAGGTATACTTAGTATGTGCATAAATTGTTTGCAGAAGGAATTTCTGAAAAAATACTCGACAAACTAATGAGCTGCTGGGAGGTGCTGGCTAAGCAAGGGGCTGCAGTTGGAGCCTCTTCTCCTGTCTGTTTCCTCCCATGAGCCCTGGGCCCTCACCACCTCTCCAACAAGTACTGGGAAAACATGAAAAGACACCTGGGTGGTCCTATTCTGCCTCTGACTTCCCCCTTCTCTCTGCATCTATCCCAGATGATGAGGTCACAGTTGGCAAGTTTTACGCCACCTTCCTGATCCAAGAATACTTCCGGAAATTCAAGAAGCGCAAAGAGCAGGGGCTGGTGGGCAAGCCCTCCCAGAGGAACGCCCTCTCCCTTCAGGTGAGGAACTGGGGTACTCGAGGGTAGGGTTCGCAGCTCAAGGAAGACCCTGACCTCCAATAGATCCCCCAGACCCCTTGCTGGGGAAAGTATCCCTCGTGTTCCAGGCTCTCTGGAGGTGGCTGAGAGGTGGGGGGGAGTGGATGTGGCTTCTTGCCTCCACCTGACCCTGTATGCAGACACTGCCCTGCACGGGCCTGCGTGCTCTCATGAGTGCTGTTAGACTGGTGGCCCTGTTTCCCGCTGCATGGATGAGCAGCCTGGGTCCACGTGGAGACCCTGGGGGCCTGCCCTCTGGACACACAGATAGACACACTTTCTACAAGTGGACCTGCTGCTGAAAAAATGGTGGGCTGAGTGGCTGGGGGAGGAACAACTAAAACCTGCAGTGACATGGCACGAAGTATGTGTGACAAAGGCTTGAGGTCCCCACATGTGCCTCTGGCTTCCAGGCTGGCCTGCGCACTCTGCATGATATTGGGCCCGAGATCCGGCGGGCTATCTCCGGAGACCTGACAGCGGAGGAAGAGCTGGACAAGGCAATGAAGGAGGCTGTGTCTGCGGCCTCCGAAGATGACATCTTCAGGGTAGGTGGCCGCCATGGGGCTGCTCTTTTCCTTTACAAAGCTCGGTTGGGGTCAAAGTGGGCAATGCTGGTGCTGTGCCAAGAAAACCTGGGAAAGTGTCCTTAAGGCAGAAAACCCTCCGCTCCGTGGCCGTCCACAGCTTGCCCTGTCCAGCCGTGCTCAGGTCTGCTCCTTGGCCAAGCCTGGCTCCCTGTCCAGCCAGGGCTCCTGGGGTGCAGCAGCTACTCCTGGGTGTCACTGGCTCATGGAATAGGGGAAAAAGCTGTTTGTCTGGGGAAAGTATTTCCAAGGGGAGAGGGTCTACTGTTTTGGAAGTTGCAAATTGGTAGTTCCTGGATCAATTCTAATGAGAGGACCTGATTTGTTGGCCACTATTTTAGAAAGCTGGTACATTCAAGAGAAAAATCCAGAATTTTGATTTCTCTTGAAAAAAAAAACTCTCAACATTTTGGGCTTGTGGTCCCAGAGGCTGGCATAAAGTGGCATTACCCTGTAAGACAGAACATCTGTTCTATAGGTCACAAAAGCCCCCTCCAGCCCTCCTTCCTTCTCTGTTCTGACAAGTGGATGCTGACTAGCAGGTGCAGTAGTGAAACCTGCCAATAGCTGGGTGGGAATACCAGCTCTCTCTCTTCCCCAGTGACCCCTTTCATGTCCTGAGCATATCTGGCTACAAGTCCTATAAGAGAGAACGTATCAAGCATAATTGCAGGGCAGGAGGGCACCCAAATCTGTCCCTGCAGCCCCTGGAGCCCAGCTCCTGGTTCTGGGCCAGCCCATCCTGCTTATGGGACCCTTACCTCCATCCTCATCTCCAATGTTTTCCATCACGAAATGACCCTGGGGACACATCCTCATGTTACTACCCCCCAACAAGACCCCAGAGAGTATGACTCCATCACCCCAACCCAGAGACATTCTCAGACCAGAGGACTGGGCCGTCCTTGCACATGCTTGCACAACTGCTTGCACAGGATAAGGAAAGCATGTTCGAGGTGGGAAGAGGAAGCACTGGTTTCCGGTTTTCCACATCCAATAAATGCTTGGGAGGAAAGGATGCCATATTCAGGTTACTACTGGGTAACTCTGGGCTAACATATTTTCTCCCATGGCAAGCACAAAGTACAAACTGTGTGTTCTGCTTTGAGGGTGGTCACCCTGCACTGTCGTCAGGAATAGGGCCTGTACTGAGAACTACCAGGACAGCTGTCAGCCTCAGCAACTGTCCTGACAGTTCCTACGGGTGTCCCCACCAGACACATAGGGGATGCCATGAATGTCTGCGTATCTGAGTACCTCCCTCTCCCAAGCTGCCCACACCTGCACCCCTGCCGTCTGGGGCTTCTGTGGTCCTGCTCCTGAGGGAAGCAGGTGTGGCTCAGGGGCTTCACCTCCTCCTGTCTTATCTACAGAGGGCCGGCGGCCTGTTCGGCAACCATGTCACCTACTACCAAAGCGACAGCCGGAGCGCCTTCCCCCAGACATTCACCACACAGCGCCCACTGCACATCAGCAAGGCGGGCACCAACCAAGTGGACACTGAGTCGCCCTCCCACGAGAAACTGGTGGACTCCACTTTCACCCCCAGCAGCTACTCGTCCACTGGCTCCAATGCCAACATCAACAATGCCAATAACACCGCCCTCGGCCGTCTCCCTGGCCCTGCTGGCTACACCAGCAGTGTCAGTACCGTGGAAGGCCATGGCCCCCCCTTGTCTCCTTCCCTCCGGGCACAGGAGATGGCATGGAAACTCAGCTCCAATAGGTAAGTGCGGGCGGGGCACCCATGGCTTGTGTACAGGCCTCCCACACTGCATCCTGGGCCCATCTGATGGAAGGGCACTTGGGCTCCCGGGTTGGCTTCTAAAGTCCCAGAGTCCTGTGTGAGTGATGGCACCGGTGGAGGCCCACACTCAGGACAAGCCCACCTGGCCCCTTGACCAGTCCTGTCACACAGGATGTGTTCCCTAAACACCTCTGGCCTTCCTCAGCAGGGTGGACCAGGAACCCGTGAGATGTCTGGGTTGCGCTACACAAGAGAGTGTACCCACAGTCCTTGCCCACACTTTTGTCTGAGCCTGGTCAACTGAGACAGCAGCACCATCACCCTCACTCCTTTCTGACCCCATGCCAGCCTGTCCATGGAGAGCATGTTTGGATGACAGGAAGCCCATTGTCCTCCAGGGCACAACAACTCCTGGTGGTCTTGACTGTGTCATCTGCCACCTGCTGACTCTCTGTGTCCTTGCCTGCAGCATGCCCTTCCCTGCCATGATAGGGTAACAGGTGCCTCTCTCGGGACTTGGGGTCCCTGGAACTGTAGTCTGGGCCTCTGCAGAGCCTCCTCCTTACTGACCTTCCCCAGATAAGAAGACAGTAACATACCTCCATGGCTTGGATGTCAGCTTCATTTTCTCTGCCTCCCTGCTTATAAAATAACTGAGAGAGATGCCTGGATTTCTTTCCAAGCTTAAGGGCGAGTGTCATGAAGGTGCTCCCTGTAGGAGTTGGCATCTGGTGCCCTCCAGCTGCCACAGCATTTAATAGAGGCTGAGAATGGCAGGCAGGCAGAGAGGCCATCCACCCCGCCTTACCTTACTCTCTGCAAGCCTGGCCAGTGAGTCCTTGGGCTCAGGGCACGTCCCCCCATCCTGTGCTTAGGGCAGTGTACCCTGCTTCAACAAGCTGGCTTCATGCGGGCATGCACCTTGCTTGCTCTCACTTCCCTCTTCCATAACCTTCAAAACTCAGTCCTGCCACCGCATTCTCCCCTACTCACTCTATCAAAACCCCCCTTTTAATTTATTATTTTTAATATTTAATTCCTCCACACACAATGTTTTTACCTATATTATTACAATACTGTAGTTCTTCAGCAACAGTCACAAGTCCATCATTCTGCTCCTTAAGTATATCATGACATTGTAGGTATAGAAAATGGTAGAAAGCCCAGCATCCTATTGTCAAGATATATTTAACAATCTCAAAGTCCTTCTTTGATTGGCGGGCATAGGTGCAACTGCAATGAATGTTCACTTCTTGGTATATTAGACTCTAGCCCCAGAGCTGAGGCAAATATAAGAGCTCTAGGGGTGTGTGTGTGTGTGTGTAAGTTTGCCTTATATCAGAGGGAACATATGACATTTGTCCTTTTGAAAACCCTCCTCTTTTAAAGATTTATTTTTCTTGAAAGCATTACACAGAGAAGAGGAGAAAGACAGAGACAGAGACATCTTCCCTCAGCTAGGTCACTCCCCAAAGGGCCACATAGCCTGAGCTGGGCCACTCTAAAGCTAGGAACCAGGTAGGTTCTTCCCTATTTCCAACATGGGTGCAGGCGGCAGGTGCACAAGGACTTGGGCCATCCTCTGCTTCTTTCCCAAGCCATGAGCATCAAACCAGATTGGAAGTAGAGCTGCCGCTATTCCAACTGGCACCCACAGAGGACACTACATTACCCTACTATGCCACCTCACTAGTCGCAGAATCCCTTCCTAGGGAGGCTCTTTATGCCCCTCATTAGCATCCCAGGGCACTACATATCGCCTGCTGTGAGAGTGCCTGCTGGAGAGGAGTCAGGGCAGAAGACAGCAGAGATCTTCTTCCCCCCATGGATAAGGCTGACAATGAAACTTAACACATGCAAGGCACTGCGCACGTCTAATGGCTCACTAAACATAAGAACAACCATCAGGGTGCTAAGAGGAGAAGGACTCTCTAGTCCTTCCTGGGCCTTAGCCTTCCCATCATAGCTCAAGGTGGATGTCTTGGACTGTAGAGACAACATTGATGTCACTGAGAACTTAATAGCATGCTCTTCCCAAGAAGTGGTGTCACCTGCCTATGGCCACCATTCTAAGTCCAACTCATGCCATTGTTCCTGGCCATACACACACACTGCATGCCTCTCCTCCCACTGGTGCTGGAGCCCCCAATACTCCTCTTCCTTATCACTGTGCTGGCAGATGGGCCACAGCCTCCGCTCCCCCACCCTGAGAGCCATCTCCCAGGTGCCTGAGTTATTCCCAGGCCCAAGGTCAGAGTAAGAGGGGACGCTGACCCAGTGCTCAGCTCCCAGAGACTGCAGTGGTATCTTCTCAGACACCTTCAGGGGCCAGAGGACAGACTCGGCCCCAGCACATGAGACAAAAAGGACAACAGTTAAGGGCCAATGACTGGGAAGAGCCCCAAGCCCAAAGCCCAGGGAGGTGCTGTTCCTGAGAGGGCACGTTACAGCGCTTACCGCATTACCACTGAGCCCAGGGGAAAACCGGGGCTCGTCCCTCTAGCCAGCAGGACGCATCCTTCATGCCACCTGAGCTTTCAGCATTCAACAGTGCCAGGAAGTTCTTGGCTGGTCCAATACACACCTGAAGGATGAGCCATCAGCAACACGGGGAAGGCACGGCCCACTCACTGGGCACCCTGCCCTAGAGGACAGCCAGGACCCTTTTCTAAGAGTTGGTCCTACCCACCCTGAAAAACAGTAGGCCTGTGAGTGGGACAGAACACAGGTTGTTCTAGGTTTATCCAAAGGGAGATTAGAAACTGAGGCAGGCTGTGGGCCAGAGGGGAGGGGAATTGTGGGTAGCCTAATAGAGCCTCAACCTTGGTTCTGTGGATTCATCAGTGACTACACAAGGAAGACACCGTGTGTGGATGAATATATATGCGATTGTGAATGTGATATGCATATGCATGTGTGTAAGGTGTGTGTGTTGCACATGAATGAGTGTAAGTGTGAATTCAGATATATGAATGAATGTGCATGTGTGTGTGGTGGGTGGGTGTGTACGAGCTCATAGGTGAGTGTGTCCCTGTGTGTGTGTGTGTGCGTGCGTGGCACCTTCCTGGCTGGGGGAAGGGGTAGACGGCTGGCCCCTCCTGAGCTCTGCTCCATCCTGCATGGTTTAGGTGCCACTCCCAGGAGAGCCAGCTAGCCATAGTGTGTCAGGATGCCACATCCCAGGACGAGACGTACAACGTGAGCATCCACGAGGACGCCGAGTACTGCAGCGAGCCCAGCCTGCTGTCCACAGAGATGTGAGCCTGCCGTTTCCTGTTCCACAGGGGCCCTGACGCCAGAGAAGGGCAAGGAGGGTGCAGGGCCTCCTCTGGCCCAGATACCGCAGCAGGGGGAGGAGGGGGGAGAGCTCCAAGAGCAGTCTAGCACCCACCGTGCACCTGCTGTCACAATGGGGGCTGAGACACTGTCCCCAGCACGCACCCAGACCCGTTCCACGGGCTCTTCCTCACCCCCAAAGTGCTCCTGAGGAGCCATGGGAACATTTTCTGCGAGCCTCAGGGTTTTGTGAAGAGCCCGTTCTTACAAGGCTGCCAGCGGGGATACTGATGCAGTGCAAGGTGCTGCCTGTGGTGCCTTCCTCCCACAGGGGAGGCTGGGCTGCTCTGCTCCTGAGTCCAGCTTCCTGCCACCCCGGGAGGCAGCCACCGGGGACGGCTCGCCTGGGAGATGCAGACTGAGTTTCCTGGACTGTCCAGGCATTTGGAGACTGAATCCCCATTTCCCTGTCTGTTTTCTTCAGATTCAAAAAATCAGTAATACAGCTTTCCAGAAGAGGGCACTGGTAGCAAATGTAGGGTTGAGATGGTTGGTTCTTGTTTTTTTAGAGGCCAGCATCTGGCCTGCAGGTCTGGATGGATGAGAGGTTGAGGCAGTTGGGAACGGTCCTCACTTTTAAAGGCACAGCTGAACACACTGCGAAATGCCAGAGGGGGTCTGCTGAATTACCAGCACACAGCTGTGTGCACCGTGTCTGCTTCCAACGTGTGCTTATGACTGCAGGTGACCTTCACAATGAAAGCTCTCAAGAAAGCTTTCTGGATTTTGGTGGTGTGGGGAGGCGGCAGAGGGGGGAGGTTGTGTGGTGGTAGAGGCAGGGTAGAAATGCAACACAGGCCACCAGGGAGTGACGGGAGAGTAAGAGTAGCACAAGATTTTCTTTGTCCCTGATGAGAATCTGGCAAGTGAGGGAAAACTCTGGAAGGAGTGGCCAACACCACAGCTTGTGACAACTCAGTGGACCCCTGTGCCTTTGTGCCCCATCAGCAGAGGTGAGGCGGGGAGAGGAGAGATGGGGGGTAAAGCACCTGCTGTTTGAAGCATGGAGAGAATGGAGCCTAAAGTTCCCCCAAAGTCCCTCTGAATTGGAACTGTGAATTTATTTTTATTTTGTTGGAAAGGCAGAGACAGACAAGATCTTCTATCCACCAGTTTACTCCCCAAATGCCTACAACAGCCAAGATGTGTCAGGTTAAAGCTAGGAGCTTAAAACTCAACCTGGGGTTTCCCACATGGGTGGCGAGGAGCCATCACCTGCCGTCCCCTCAGCCTGCTTCACAATGCACATCAGCATGATCGAGCGCTCAGGAGCTGAGACAGGACTCCCGTCCAGGCACTCCGACATGCGTGCTTCACAAACAGCATTTTAAAATCTGCACCAAATGCCTACCTCTAAATGAACTTGGCAGTGCAAATGAATGCATGTTCACATGTCCTGGCAAAGGGAAAGCACAGGTCTTAATCCATTTCTGCCACATCTGGGGTGCCTGGTGCATCCGGGAAGTAACTCTGCCAAGTCATTCACTAGTGTCTGGACTCAAGGAGGGTTTGCAAACTGATTTGGAAGTTGGGAGGATCTGAAAAGAATGATGCATGGCTAACTGTCTAACTGCCCACAGGAGAGTGGAGAGGTGTTCAGAGAGGGTCCGGGGGCAGGGCAGGGGGACCGTCAAGGGTAGGACAGCCGAGCTCAGAGCAGCTGGGTCTGCAAGAACCATGCAGCTGGGCTAAGAAGAAAATATGGTCAGGAAGGTATGCCTGGTCAAGAAGGATGCACACGTGTGACCTTTACTTTGACCAACATCCCTGTGCATCTGTATATGAATGCACCAAGTTAGTACTAGAAGCAAGGTGCACTCAGCCATGAGGGCAGCACATACCTTCCCAAGGTAGGAGGGAGCCATGGGCACCTGCTTTTCCAATGCAAGCAAGTCCATAAGGAACTGGGAGACCACCACAGTGGGTTGTAAACTTGTGCCCTTGTAGTCAAATAGAGCAAATGAAGGTGGACTAGATATGTTTAGAGTCTACCCATCAGGGTAGGGTTAGCGTGTGAGAATGCCTTCCATTGGGTCTGTAAGTGAGTCAAGTGTCTTTCGTACTGTCACCCTTGAAAGGCTTGGCAGCCATTTCTGAGATGTCCCCCAAGATTCCTCCCAGCCTTGCCGCTGACTGGTGTGACAGGGGGTGCTGGGGCTGAGGCTGAGGGCAGCGGGTAGACAGCACTGGCATCTGTGAACACAGGAACCTAGGCAGCTTTGAAAGGATCCTGGGGCCTAAGAACTTGTCCAGCTTTGTCCCAAGAGTGCTCCTGCTGTCTCCCTGAAATCGGAAACGTGGGGCTCACCTCGTAGGCAGTGGATGGAGAACCGGTCCTGGCAGCACAGAAGATTGCTGCCCCTCCCCAACCTGCACAGCAGCACCCTGGCATGGGGAGGGGTGGGGGACTGCTCCCAACAAGGAAGTAAAGTGCTCTCTGGGGATGGAACCCTTCTCTTCTGGGAATGAGCCCTGAGAATTCTGTGTTCTAGGCTTTCCTACCAGGACGATGAAAACCGACAACTGACAGCCCCGGAAGAAGACAGGCGGGACACAAGGCAGTCTCCAAAGAAGGGCTTCCTGCGCTCCGCATCGCTAGGTAGGCACCCCCTATCCCCACTGAGCGGAGGCAGCTGCCCAGTACAGCACTACGTGCCAGGTCAGGTACCTGCGGATGGCTTGCCACAGAGAAACCCATGAAAAGGATTTCCAAAGTTGCATTTCAGGATCACAAAGACAGGGCTTGTGGGGAGGGTGCCTGGGCCTGGACTGTCCTAGATGTCTTCGAGGTGCAGCCAGGGGAAAAGAGGAGGTGTGTCTGAGGGTGCTGGTCCTGCTGCGTGTGGGTGTGAGCTGTGACAGCCATGTCCTTGTTTCCTGCCATGATCCCCTTCTCTTTGTGGCCCTGCAGGTCGAAGAGCTTCCTTTCACCTGGAATGTCTGAAGCGACAGAAGAACCAAGGGGGGGACATCTCTCAGAAGACAGTCCTGCCCTTGCACCTGGTCCATCATCAGGTAGCCCCTGATTCCACACAGGCCACCCAGCCCCCACCGAGCACGGCCCAGAGAGCTCCCATCATGTCACTTCCCACGAGGTCTCAGATCCCTGGCACAACCCACCATGGTGCCCTTGCCTTGGCACAGGGTCTGTGAGGTGGCAGAGTGGGGCAGGCTCTGTGGGACCAACATCTGTGAGATGCTTCCTTCTTGTACACTTTAACTGTTCAAAGATGCACCCAGTGAAACAGAAATGATACAAGCACCTCCCAGCCATGTGGCCCAGGGTAGGGGGTGCTACTCAGAGAGAAGAGCTCCTGAGAAATTCCCTGGATGAAATAGCTCCCGATCTGACTGCAGCTGGGGCAGGGAGGGGGAGGGGAGCGGGGCACAAACATCTCTGCATCTCAGGTCAGACTTGCCATGCCTAACCACACCCCAGCCCCCAGGTAAATCAGGAATTGAAGCTGCTTCCAGCCTCTCTCTCTTTTCAATCATCTGCTCCCCCACCCACCACAGACCTAAACTCAAGGATGCTTTGGTACTTAAAGGCATTCAACTGCCAAGCATAGCTTAGAACCCACCTAAGATGGCCACCTGGATGTGGCCAAGTTGGTATTACTTCAGCTCAAAGAAATACATTGCTTGGTTTAGCCTGTGTAGCACTACCCAAGTGAGAAAAATTTCTGCTGGGCTTTCCACACTCCTGCTCATAGCCTGTGCTTCTTACAGCTCCCCATCAGGTGCTGGGATCCGGGTTGGGGTGGGTGACGTGGGCAATCGTGTTTGCCTTAGGAGTTTACTAGCAGTTGGCTTCACCCATCCTTTCTGATTGTACTGGGAGGCAAGGTGAGGCATCCTTCCTCGCTTGTATTATCTGTCTGCTTCCCGGCCCCTCCACAGCACCACCCTCTGCCACCCCCGATCCTGGTGGAGTGGCACACGCTGAGGGACCACGTCCTGACAGCAGCTGTGCTGCAGGCCATGTCCCCCAGGATGACAGCACGCAAACATGTACAGTTTTCTTAATATGACAGTGGGAGGCTTCAGCAATGGCTGCCAGGCAGTCTGAGTGAGAGGTTGGCAGGGTTGGACTCAAGGCTCTTTGCTGTTATAAAAGGGAGAATCACAGGCACTGACTTTGGACACTGGACTTCATTACCAACCTGCACCCCCGTGAGCCCCATCAAGGCAGACTGACATGGCACCTCTGTCCTGCATATACCCAGGATGCAGAGTCACCATGTGCTGTAGTGTTGCAGTGAGTCAGCTAAGAACCAGAGCATGCGCAGCTAGCAGTCAAAACAAAGCCAATGACCTTGATACCACCTCACGGTGGCTTCCTCAAGTGAGGTCCCTCACTCCAGGAAGACTCAACTGACCATGAAAAGTAATTTGAGATCTGTGAAGCCCAGGCCAGGCCTTGAGCGAGGGCAGCTGGGGTGTATCCAAGGGCATGTAGATCTAGCTAGATGACAAGAGCTTTGTCCCTGTCAAGCCACCCCCTGTAACTTGCACCTCTTGTGTGTCATCCACAGGCATTAGCAGTGGCGGGCCTAAGCCCTCTCCTGCAGAGAAGCCATTCCCCGACCACCTCGCCCCGGCCCTGCACCACACCCCCCGCGACACCAGGCAGCCATGGCTGGCCCCCACAGCCCATCCCCACCCTGCGGCTGGAGGGCGCCGAGTCCAGCGAGAAGCTCAACAGCAGCTTCCCATCCATCCACTGCAGCTCCTGGGCTGGGGAGCCGAGCCCCTGCAGAGCGGGCAGCAGCAGCACCATCCGGAAGGCCCGGCCTGTCTCGCTCACAGTGCCCAGCCAGGTTGGGACTCAGGGGAGGCAGTTCCATGGCAGTGCCAGCAGCCTGGTGGAAGCGGTGAGTGAGTCTGAGCTGTGTGGCAGATGCAGGGGAAGGGCACAAAGACTAGAGGATCGGGCAGGGGGCGGTTGCTTTTGTGCCCGCAGACTGAAGGTTGTCCCCACGTCCCAGGGCCCACAAACACCATCCCTCTCAGGGCCTGCAAAGAGGAGCCAGGGTATACAGTGTTGACCACATGGCACCGTGGAGGCAACGCACTGGGGCAGAGGGAGAAAGCCCTGAAGCAGGCCAGTGAACCCCAAGACACGGGTGCCTCAGTACCTCATGTTAACCTGGGCCGCTCTCTCTCTCTCTCACACACACACACACGAGCGTCTCGGGCCCTCTGGAAAACCTGATATTTTTATAACCTCTAATACACAGCCAGGGTTGAGTGGCACCAGTGGCTCCACTGTCCTCCACCCAGTCTGGGCATTCAAACACTATCTTGGCACCACACATTTGAGGGTTCCTTTGACAAATCAGAACAAGCCCAGAGGAAGATGACCTAGGGAGAGCCTGGGCCAGAGCAGCTGGCTCACACAGACAGGTGGGCTGGCTCTGGTCCCTGAGGAAGAGCCATCTGATGAAGCCTGCCTTACACTGAGAGGTCTTCCCTAGAAAGCATCACCTCTCGTACCCCTGGGGCAAGAACAGACTGCAGTTTCACCAGGCCTGGGATCCCTATGCCCTGTGTTGGTGTGTGTGCTGGGCTAGGTATGGGTGCAGGATTCTGCATGTGTGAGCTCTCCCTAGGAATAGCAGACAGTGATAAGCCTTCAGGCAGGAGTTGGGGAAGGTGCCAGAGTGGAAGCCAGCGGGGACAGGCCCATGTGAGTCCCCAGCAGTGTGTGGCAGGCACTATCCTCTTGGGAGCTGATGCTCCCGGGATGTGGAGGGTCATCCCCAGCCCTTCTGGGCAGCCAGAGATGTGCGGATGGGTGTGTGGTACCATGCATGTCCTTGCCAGGATCCTCAGGCCCGGGGAGACAGCCAAGTGGGTTGGGGCAGTTAGCAGTTTTTTAGTTCCCCCCGGGAGGAGGAGGATTCCTTGTGGAGTGTGTTATGAATGGCCTGTACAGCAGAGCATCTCCTATGGCCTTCCCTTGCTCCTTCCCCCGCGGCCAGCACTACATCCTGTGGCCAGACCCCATCTCTATTTCCCTGGGAGCACCACCCTCCCCGACACCCCTAGACCAGCACAATTGCTTTGCCACAGATTGCCCTGCAAGCCCCTTACCCCAGATCAGCTCTGCTGATAATAATTTCCCTCTGTGCTTTTCCCCCCACGACCCTTCAGGTCTTGATATCAGAAGGACTGGGGCACTTTGCTCAAGATCCCAAGTTCCTCCAGGTCACAACCCAGGAGCTGGCCGACGCCTGCGACCTGACCATAGAGGAGATGGAGAACGCGGCCGATGACATCCTCAGTGGGGGCGCCCGGCAGAGCCCCAACGGCACCCTCTTACCTTTTGTGAACCGCAGGGACCCGGGCCGGGACAGAATGGGGCAGAGCGAACAGGACGCGAGCAATGTGCGTGCCCCCCGGTGTGGGCAGAGCGAGGAGGGCCTCGCAGACCACAGCCTGTAAGGTGCAGGGGCCCGGGGGTGCGGGTATTATTATTAATTATTATTATTATTTTTGTCTCAATGTTCCTAATGGGTTCGTTTCAGAAGTGCCTCACTGTTCTCGTGACCTGGAGTTAACCGGAACAGCGTCTTCATTCATTTCTGTTGGGATGAGAAGCAGGTTGGGAGGTGTGGAGCCCTCTGTGTTTGCACATCTAGAGGCGAGGAGGAGAGAGTAGACTGGGAGGGGAGTGACCAGCCGGCAAGCTCTGCTGCGAGGGCCTGTCCCTGGGCTGCAGAGAGAGAACCTCGGCTTCCTGTGATGGCCCTCACTCGCCAGAAGGACCCTGACGCAAACGGGTGTCTCTCAACTTTGCTTGTAAACAAAACAAAACCCATTTGCACATACTCCGTATGAGCCTCACTGTCTCCATTAGAGCCAGACCCTGTGGACTGGGCCAAGGGCACAGGGCAGGACTTGGGGCGAGGATCCCTGTGGACACAGGAGGGGCGAGGACGTGGCAGGAGGCACTGCGCGGGGTGCCCTTGAAGTCCTGCCCCTCGCTCCAAGTGTCCCTACTGGACCTGTCTCCTGATGGCGCCCACCTCTGCCTACTGGGGAGTGCCCAGCTGGGTGGCGCACTGGCACCAGGGTCAGGGCCAGGAGCTGGGGCCTGCAGCGCGCAGCCAGACAGGGTGGCGGTGCTGCGCGTGTCTAGCGTTCTTGCATTTGGTGGTTTGCCTTTTTTTTTCTTTTCTTTTTGGACAGCATGTTGCAGTTTTCATGTTTTATTTTTTAAATCATTCTAATTTTGCTTTCCCAGGGGGAGAGGTGGAAGAAGAGCTTTGATCTATTTTGTGGCTGCCCACTTTCCTGCCTTCACTTTGCATATATAAATCTGGTTTGGGTTTTTGTATTATTAAAAGGTTGTGGGTCATTTGGCCCGAGGAGAGAGGCTTTTTTTAGAAGCCGTTGTAGGAGTTTTACCAGCCGTTGTGTACGCTCCCAGATTTGTTCTTTTTTCTTTTTGTATTTAATTTTCTGGTTTGGTTTAGATTTATAATTTAAAGGTAATTGGCGATGCACTTGATAAGGTCTTGCACATATCCGGGTGATGGAGCTAGGTTCCGTTATGCTGGTGAGTGGTGAGTGCAGGGGGGAGGGAGAGTGGCTGAGTGTGTTTGTGTGTGTGTGTGTGTGTGTGTGTGTGTGTGTGTACCCACACGGTGTCTCACTTCCCCTTCTGGTTGAGCTGTGGGAAGGTCTGAGTGTGGGGCCATTGGAGAGCAAAAACCAACCACTGGCTTTACTTCTGAAACGGCAATCAGTAACTGCATTTTCTGTCCCACAAGATATGCAAAAACAATGCAATAATATTCATTTTAAAAGTAAAATTGTGAGTTGTGTTGGCATTAAAACTGTATTTAAAAAAAAAAACACCACAGAGAAATTTAAGGGAAAAACACAAGACATTTTTGCTTCAATATATTCCGTGTAATGTTTTATTGCATTGACAATGTTTCTGTTGAAGAAACCGTTATACTTGAATTCAGGTCAGTTTTCAGTATTTTTCAAATATTTTTTTAAAAAACTGAATTGCAATTGTGCCAAGCGAATATACTGAACTGAATTAAGTTTGTTTTTGAATTCACTTGTACGTTTTGCTGCATGTAAAGTAAATCATTTCATATTTGGAGTGTCACGCGCTTTTCTCTGTGCCTGGGGAGGGGATGCTGCCTCTAATGTGTGCCCCGAGCAGAGGGCCTGCCCAGGCCAGCCTCCGTGCTGCTGTCCCCCCGTGGGCTGGGACATCACTGTTTTGCATATCTTGTGCGTGCTTGCATTACCCTCCGTCCACAGCACAGCTCGCCCTGAGAGACCAGGTGTCATTCTGTTTCTCCTTCCTCTGCTTCTGAGCACAGCCCTTCCCCACGTGGAGCAGCGTGGCATTCTCATTGGCCTCTTTGTCACGGGGTTGTGTCTGTACCCGTCTGTGCAAGAGATGGTTCCCTCCCAGTGGTGCCCACTGACTGACAGCATAGCAGGGAGGGGCCTCTTCCTTCCCTTTGGATGGCTGCTCTGCTCCAGCGGGGCCTAGAAAAAGGCACCTGAGCAAAACCTGGCTGCACTCAAGAGTCAAGGTCATGACTGTCTCCTCTTCCCTCTCTTCCCTTCCACGGCTCTGCCTTGAGAGCCGCCTACGGTGTGCAGGAGCAGAGGAGGGGACCTGGACACAGGGACGAAGCACCAGGAGCTCCCAAGACAAATGAGTTTCTTGGAGGTGCAGGTAGGCCCATTCAAGTCAATCCTATTGGAGCTGTGTCCTGCAGGTCTGTCTCACCCACGATGTTTCTAAGGGAACTGACTGGGGGAACTAGGACCCACCAATTCACCCCCGACTTACCCGCTGGCTCTCTTCCATTCCCCCATCAGCCCTTCTTGGCCCAACTACAAGCACAATAGAAATGAGCGTGGTGGGCAGTGTGCTCCTCAGGGAAGCTGAGCTGCACCTTCAAGCGCCGATTCCTGATCACGCATGGATGTGTTCCAGATAGTCCCAGATTCATGTACATTCCAGAAAGATTCTTCATGATCCTCGTGCCCAGTCCACATGCACTTTCATGATTCCTTCTCAGTGCCATCCAGGTATTCCAGAAATGAAGGTTAGGTGTCATCCTTGGCTCACTTTCCCCAAAGTTCTACCCACTGTGCAAGGAGTTCTGAGACGCGGGGACTTCTCTTGAGCACACTCAGGTTCCTGCTGTGTCTGGTCCAAACCTGGGCATGTGGGATTCTGACTGCCCCGACGCACACCTGCCTGTGTGCTCACTCAGCTTCTCATGCTGCCTTCTCTTTTTGTTCTGAACTTTCCCTCTGTGCCTCCAGGTCTCAGTGGCTTGGACCACAGGCTGGGCTGATGCTGGCTGCTCCTCAGGATTGCCCACCATAATTCCCTTCAGTACCGACTCCCTCCATCTTCTTTCTCCTAGATAACCAAGGCTGGCAAGAAAACCAGAAGCAGCCCTTGTCCTTGCACTGCATCCAAGTGGCATCAGTAGGGACAAGGGCACCTTGCCCTTGTCTGTCAGGTAGGAAGGGGCGTGCAGACAGGAGATCCCCTTCTGGGACAGTGGGCTTCCTTAGCCTGACCTCATGATGATGGTGACAGTGGTGCAAGCAGTGGTGGAATGAGTGAGGCACGTGCACCATGGGTTGTTTCTTCTGCCTGAAATCCAGCTAGCCCCCCTGCCCCCAGGCCCTTGTTAATACAGTCATCACCTCTTCTTTGAACCTGCTGGTGGTGGGAGGGAAGTAGCCTGTGACTGGGAACCGTAGCACTTACCCAAGCACAGTGTGGACTTTGCTTTTCTTTGTCATCTCACCAGTCCTGATTCTTCTGTTTCCATCCTGTAGTCTCTCCATAGTCAGTCGTGTGCATGGCCAAGCCACACTGAAAGGTCTTCCATTCTCTCTTTTGCGCCTGCTCCTCAAAGGGTCTTTTGTTCTTGAGGCATAAAGAAGTATTTTCCCATCGGTTTTGGTTGGATTCATAGATTTGTGCCTGCTGGAATTCAACAATTCAGTAGGCTTCCCACTGAGTGGAAGGTCCAAAGGCAAGAAGGGAACAAGGCCAGGCCGTCTGTGCACCCGTGTTTCTCTGGGTCCCAATGCTAAGGCGCTATTGAAAGTGAAGCTGCTTGCTGTTTCTTCATGATCACAAAAAAAGATTTTTTTTGAAGAAAGGTTTGTTTTGTGTAGAAAATTTGAAATACGAGGAATCTTACTGAAGTAAAGTCAATCTTGAACAAAGATGTGGAAAATGGATATTGTGGAAAAAAAACACTATGTGTGGATTTTAATTTTTTTGAACCACAGATGATTCCAGCCATCACCTTTTGGGAGTGCTTTCCTAACTCTGAACGCCCAAGTTGGTGTCATTCTGAGGAATAGGATGGATATGACTTATAAGTCATCCAGGAGCTGACAGCTGTTACACAGCGGTCAACTGATGCATACCTATTCCTTCTGAAGGCCAAGAAATAAAGCAAGCTTGGCTGCACTGCAGAGCCCTGGTATCCAGGACTGGCAGCCCCATGAAATCATAGTCAGAAACATAGCCAAGGAGGAAAATTCCATCTCCCCCTGCCTTCAGAGACCTGGAATAACTGAAATAGCATTGCCTAGGAGTTAGAAACAGTTCAGCAAAGAGATTGGAAGAGCTCTTTAAACCCCAGAGAAGTTAAACTCACACATGCACTCCTTGCTGATATCAAATCTGGGATGATTGTGGTTGGCTAATGTTTTTATGCATTCATTTGAGAGAGTAAGGGTTCAATGGATGGAAGGAGCTCTCATCTACTAGTTCCCACAATGGCCAGGACTGGGGCGAGGCCAAATCTAGGAGCTGGGAACTCAATCGAGGTCTCTTGTGTGATGGGGCAGGAACCCAATGACTTGAGTCTTCGTGGCTCTAATGGGAAGCTGGAGCTGAGCATCAAAGTGGGTACCCTGAGATGGGATGTGTATGCAGGTGTCTTACCGGGAGCCTACCTCCAGTTCTCTTTCTCGGAGATGATCTACTTTAGATGGTGAGAACAATGACTTCTCCCCTGAGCCTGCTTGGCCAGGTGGTGTCTGCTGTGAATCCCACAGTTTCTTCTGTTATTCAGTGAGCAGCCCAGCCCAGGCTCCTATCAGAAGCAGGAGGGAAGCTCTTAGTCCTCCAAGTCGTGGTTCTACAGCTGCATATTGAGGAGCTGTGGGAGTTGTGGGGAATAGAAGCAAACGATTTATTTTTGTGCAAAAGAAAATCTATGCAGAATTTTTTTCATAATACTCATTTTCCATGATGCTTTGGCGTTCCCCACGAAAGTCAAGAAGCATCCTGTGCTTGTGTCAGAGGTGAGAGAGGGTGCTGGTTCCCCTCCCCAAGCAGTTTTGCTCCCTGCCTCTTGCCTGCCCTCAGCCATCCCCTCATCCTGCAGGCCTGCCTGGTAGCAGGTCTTACTAAAGCCACTTAGGGTTTTCACTTTGATATTTCACAGCAGTGGAATCTTGCTTTAGGAGCCAGATACAAATGT